CGTCCATCCCCTGGCTGGTCTAGAGGCTGAAGTTATTTCTCACAATCTTTCCCAAACTCTGTCATTATTTTTGAAACGATGAGAACAACGCTTCCATGATGAACCTCCGCTTTGAATCAGGAGGTACATCCTTCCCACCTCTTTGAGGACGAGGGGGCCCTGGGTGAGCATGTTGGAGTGTTGCTGTCCCAGGGAAACGAATGAGTGAAGAAAGGCAGGTCTAGCCGGTGAATAACCTCCCCAGAGGCAGCCCCCGAGTCTGTGACAGGCAGCAGAAAGGCTCCGTGCCTGGGACACTCGTCCCCTCCTGTCCCCTTCACCTGCCGGGTGAGAATGCCTTTAAGGCAACCAATCCCTTTAATGTCACAGTAAGAGAAAGGCTGGAAGAAGAATGAAAGAAGTAAAGTTGCTCTCAGATCCTATCCCGAGAAGACGGTTCATCACACCTTCGTGGGAGGAGCACCCAGAAACAGGTCACATCTTGGTCTTGGACCAGCTCTGGTCCTGGTGTCGTCTCCCGCCAACGAGAAAGCGGAGTCGGAGCACACGCCCTCTTGTGTCTCTACTTTGCCTCCATCTCTTCAGATGAGCCTGCAAGGCCTCCGATGGGAGTGAACTTTGCATTTTGGCGCCGTGTTCTTGGCTGTGGATCCGGATAGCCCAATGGTCATCAACCCGGCCTGCCCGTTATAATCACCTGGGAGCCATAAACAGTCCTGATGCCTACATCCACCCCAGAGACACCCGTGAAAGGGCCTGAGAGGTGGCCGTGGCATTTGAGTTTTTAAAAACTCCCAGGTGATTCTAATGTACAGTCAAGGTTGCGAGCCACTGGGCTCACCTGAGAGTGGCCATCCGGCCGAGGCACCACCTTCTATACAGCCTCGGGCGAGCACCTGCTGGTTCTCAGCCTTGGCTGCCATTAGAAGCCTCTAGGAAGCTGCCAAAAATCTACTGTCCCAGTTCGCCCCCCCTCATTTGACTAAATCAGAACCTATGAAGCAGGGACAGGGCACCAGTATTTTGTTATTTTTTAATCCTCACCCCAGGATATTTTTCCATTGATTTTTAGAGAGAGGGGAAGGGAGAGGGAAAGATAGAAAGAAATAGAGATGTGAGAGAAACACATTGATTGGGGGGGCCAGGGAGGAGCGCAACCGAGGTACATGCCCTTGATTGGAATTGAACCTGGAACCTTTCAGACCGCAGGCCGACGCTCTATCCCCTGAGCCAAACCAGTGAGGGCCGGCACCAGTAGTTTTTAAAGCCCTTGCTCGATGCTAATGTGCGGTCAAGGTTTTGGACCCGATGCCTAGGAGCCGCCTCACTCTCCTGAGCTCCACCTAAAACTACAGGCAGAGGCAGTGAGCGAACAGAGGCGAAGCCCTAAATCTCTGATTCTGTGAGGAAATGGCCAGTTTTCTGGCAACGAGAACAAATTCTGCTAAAATGCGAGGCTAGGAAAGACTGCTCCAGCCATGGCTCCTTCCCACAGTGGTCTGAGGGAGCAGAGGTCATGCCGGTCAGACTCCTCCAGTGCGTGGATTTCGTCAGTCAACAGCGGCGCCTAGCGCTCGGCCTGGAAGCCTGCCAGGACCTGCTGGGGGCAGAACCCTACAACCATCTTCATCCTAACCCGAGAGGAACTCGCGGTATAGATAATAAATGCGTACAGAGAAAGCAATCTTACAGCAATACTCCACCAACCAGCTCTTTCCAGGGAGTGGAGATTCCTACCAGTGAGCTTTTCAGGAAATGTCTTTATATCAAAGATGTTTCATTTTTATTACTTCAGATCAATTTTTTTCGAAGATGCTTATGCAGCCCCCTGCCTTCTTTAACACAGTACCTGGATGTCAGTGGGCCCATTCTTGATGGTCCCAGGACACCAGTATCAAGAAGCAGAGCTGGCATGCATGGTGATGCAGATTGCTTTGCCCAACTTTAGGGGGCGCTACTTACCTCAGAGCCTCAGGTTCTTTACAGTTAGTTGCCCAGTTTTCTGGGAGATCACAATCCAGTGTCTTGGAGAAGCTGTACCTTTTTCTTTCTTTTTTTAAAATGACATGATTTATTTTAAGTGCTTCCCAGATATAAACTCCTCAAATGGTATAATGTGTCCATTTACTGCTCCTGGATTCAAGGTACCAAGCCATATAGAGAATCTTACTTCCTCATTTATGCATTTGGGAGCATCTTCCGTAATATGAAATTTAACCAAAATCTCTCTATGCAATTATTTATGTTTTGTTTTTAATTGCTGTGTTGGTGGTTCGAGCCCAGTCAGGGCTTGAATAGTTATTTTGGTGGCAGCATACTGCAGCAGAAAGAAGAGTCATCTAAGATTAAGGGGATCTGACTAATCTACACTAATAATAGACAAATATGTAAATTGACCATACCTCTGCAACACCCCACAGCCAATCAGGAGGGGATATGCAAATTAGCGGGACAAAGATGGTGGTGGCCACGGAGCCAGCCGGAGCTGGCAGGAGGCTTGGGTCACCCCCGGCAACAAAGGAAGCCAAGCTTCCCACCCTCCTGGGCCGGCTGCGGAAGGAGGGGCCTGTGGGCGGTGGCCACGGAGCCAGCCTGAGTGCGCAGGAGGCTTAGGTTGCCCAGACCGGCTGCCAAGGGAGGGGCCTGCAAACAGCCCTCAGCCCCTCACCCAGGCTGGCCATGCCCCCATGGGGTGAGGGTCCCCTCTGGGGGGTGTGGCCAGCCTGAAAACAGCCCTCAGGCCCTTACCCAGGCTGGCCATGCCCCCCCAGCAGGGACCCTCACTCCATGGGGGCATGGCTGGCCTGAAAACTGCCCCAGCCCCTCACCCAGGCCGGCACTGTCCCCAGTTGGGACCCCCACCCCAATGGGGGCATGGCCGGCCTGCAAAACACCACAGGCCCCTCACCCAGGAACCCTACCCCCCAAGGGAACCCCCTCCCTGATCTGGGACACCCTTCAGGGCAAACCAGCCAGCCCCCACCTGTGCACCAGGCCTCTATCTATACTAATAAAAGGGTAATATGCTAATTAGACTGGGAGACCTTCCAGGAGACCTTCTGGACATTCTTCTGGACAAAGCCATGGTGGCGAGCCGAGGTAAAGCGGTTAGGGGGCCAAGAGGGAAGGGCAGTTGTGGGTGATCAGGCCAGGATGGGATGGCAGTTGTGGATGTTCCAAGTCACGGAGCCTTTCTGCTGCTTTACCCAGACTCGGGGGGCGCTTCTGGGGGAGATTATCCCCCGGCTAGACCTACCTTTTCTTCACTCATTCGTTTCCCTGGGATAGGGGGATTACAACATGGTCAGGGAGGAGTTGGGTGGTCACCAGACAGGTGGGAAGAATGTTTCGCGGCATTTAGGCCGGCAGTCCGTCATGTAAGCGTTTTTGTTTTCGCTGTCCCAGTTTTCGAGGGGGATGTGTAACACCCTGTTAAGGCCCAATCCCCCAGGCATTGAGACATCCCCTGAGGGATCCCAGATTGGAGAGGGTGCAGGCCGGGCTGAGGGACACCCCCCCCCCCCCGCCACGAATTTCATGCACCAGGCCACTAGTGATTTAATATTTGACATATCACCCTGGTCCCAGTTACCTTAGGCGCAAGAAGCTGTGCCTTTTTCTATCAGCTGGCAGCAGGCTTGGCAACCATGGGGCTGCGGGGGTAGGCATGGCTGTCTGCTCCTAGCCTGATACGACCCAGAGAACTGCAATGTATAATGATTATTCCTACGCTCTGTAACATTCTGTCTCTTCCTTCACTTGGCCTCATAAGGTCCTAGTTCTCCCTACTCTCTACCCGTAGCAGCCCATCCATCTTCCTCCAGCTACTGTTTCCAAACGCAACCACAAAGAAACAGCGTTAGTGAGTCATTGACTTTGTCCCAAATGCATTTCTAAGTCAGCGGATCCTTGGGAGGAAGCCTAAGCCTGGCTCCACACTCCCCTAGAGCCACCTGTCAGGGTCTTGGGCAGCTCTCTTCCTTTCCTTTGTCACCTGTGTCCAGATTCTTGGCAGCTGTACTTCAGACGGCGGGGGAATAGCCAGAAGCCTGATCCTCTGATGAAAAGTGTTCTCAATAAATAGAAACCAGCACTTCATACTGATCCGATGCTACAATGTGCATTACTATTAGAGAACAGTATTATTAGGGGACTCATTTGTTGCACGTGTAGGGGTTTGTTTGCTCATTTCTGTTTGATTTTAACATAAGTTCCCTTGACATATAGGGGTGGGCAAAAGTAGGTTTACAGTTGTGAGTGCTTGAAACACAGAGTTTAAAAAGCTATTGCAATAATCATGACCTGCCCTAGCCGGTTTGGCTCAGTGGATAGAGTGCAGGCCTGTGGACTGAAGTGTCCCAGGTTCGATTCCGGTCAAGGGCACATGCCTGGCTGTGGTCTCGATCCCCAGTAGGGGGCGTGCAGGAGGCAGCCAATCAATGATTCTCTCTCATCACTGGTATTTATCTCTCCCTCTCCCTTCCTATCTGAAATCAATAAAAATGTATTTAAAAATAAATAAAAATAAAACATTTATTTAGAAATAAATAATAATCATCATGACCTGCATGTCTTTCTCCACACAAACAACCATAAACCTACTTTTGCCCACTCCTGTACACTACATACAGGGTGTCCAAAAAATGTATACATACTTTAACAGCTGATAGCTCAACTTTGAAAATGAAATGTATTTTAATGAACACTGCCTTTGTAATTATTCAGAGTGTGTGTACACATTTTTGGGGACACCTATATTTTCCCAAGCTTTCTGGGATGGTTCTGATAAGCAGCCATGTCGGAAATCACTGGTCTGAAACAGGAACATCTGACATGCCTGGGAGCTTCCGGGACACATCAGAGCTGCCTGTCATCTCTCCCGCTCATTGACCACCACAGCTTCCAGTCCGTCACTTTCAAGACCGTCTGGCTGACCTCAAGGTTACGGAGGGGAGGGCCAAGTGCACAGCTGCTGGAGCCTCTGCTTTTGTTTCTTGCAGCCGTGCTGTTCCCTGCTGCCCATCGGCCGAAGAGATCGTCCTCAATGCCCTTGAACCCCGTCCTGCAGAGCTCCCTGGAGGAAGTAGAACTGCTCTACGAGGTAGGCAGAGGCACAAGTGGCCACATCACCCCAAAGGCGTTGCAACTTTTCTGTTTGTTGGAGGAATGACCTGAGCCCCTGAGAATGAGGGCCCTGGCTGCCTTAGGGACTGGCCTGGACTCCTTTGTGGGGCCATCAAACCGTGGCCATCCCAGAGTAAGGTATTCCTCGAATCTCCTCTCCTTTCCCACATGCCAAACAGGGAGAGGTGGCATTAGGAGGTCACTGGGGGCAAAATTAGAGATTTAGGTTGGGCCCCAGGTGCCACTCCCAGCACCCTAGCAGCAGAGTCAATGTCTCGAGCAAATGCCAGGAGGCAGGACTCATCATAGGGTTCAGGCAACGCCAAGCCGCTTGTCTGGTGGAGCCCTGTCTCAGGTAACTGCCTACTGTGACAGCCCAGTCTCTGACCATCTGGGCACCCCAAAGGCTCTCTTCCTCTGCCCCTCATCTCCACCACTCAGACCCGCTTCTCCAAACCACGGGTAAATTTCCCAAGGCCCCTTGATCCAATTCAGCGATAAAATTCCAGGCTCAAGGTCTGAGCTTTAGTTCTGGTCCTGCCACTCATCAGCCATGTGACCTTGCAGCAGCCACCGTGTCTCTGGGCCCGGATCTCCTCAAATGTTAAATGAGGGATACAGTGATCTCCAAAACTCCCCTCCTGCCTTGACATCCTCTGGCATCCTCCATGTGCCAGAACTCTCCGGCTAAGAAAGAGACAGCCTGCTGCAGGCAGGTCCGACCACGGGGAACTCACTGGGAAATGCATAGCCTTCACCGAGTCCTGAACGTGGGAGTCTATCACAGGTCCCTTTGAGAAAGACAGGAGCGTGGAGATGGATGGAGCGGGGGAAGCTGGAAGCAGACACAAGTTAGAACCCGAGTCCAAGAGGTGTTTACTAGGTCCTGATGTGAGCCCAGCACTGAGCAAGGGATGCATGCGGCAGGCCCCACCCCCACTCCTAAAGAACGGGTGAGAAGTGAGGACAAACCTCTGTGTCCCACTTAAGTCCTAGCACCGCTCTCTGCGTCCTTCAATCCCCAGCTTCTGATTTAGAATTATCTGAAATAGTTCATGATTTAGAAAATCTTCGGTGGGTGGGTGGGAGGGAGAAAGGGAAAAATGGGTTAATCTGGGACACCAGAAATAATAAATAGTCATTAAATAGTGGCTTTGTACCAGGGACAATGTTTGTACCAGGGTGTCCATAATTGTCTTATTTACTTCCCACAACAGCCCTGTAGAGTATTTTTGCTACTAACCATTTCACAGAGGAGGAACGTGAGGCTCAGGGACATGCAGTAAGTCACCCAAGTCGGTGGGAATGTCAGAACTGGAACCCAGGTCTCCTGGATTCCAAAGCTCTTTCCACAGCGGCCTCCCCCAAGGAGGACAGGTGAGGATGAAAACAGTGGTGTCCTCCACAACGCCCAATGCTTCATGTGTTTCCATACCTCATGTCTCACCAGTTCCTGCTAGCTGAGCTGGACATCAGCCCCGACCTGCAGATCTCCATCAAGGACGAGGAGCTCGCCTCCCTAAGGAAGGCCTCTGACTTCCGCACCGTCTGCAATGATGTGATCCCCAAGCGCATCCCGGACATCCGACGGCTCAGCGCCAGCCTCGCCAGCCTCCCCGGCGTCCTGAAGAAAGAGGACTTTGAAAGGACAGCGCTGACCCTGGCCTATGCGGCCTACCGCACAGCCCTGTCCCAAGGGCATCAGAAGGACATCTGGGCCCAGTCCCTCCTCAGCCTTTTCCAGGCCCTGAGGCATGACCTGATGCGGTCCTCAGGCTCCAGAGTGTCTGCCTGAGAGGCAGGCCCACACCAGGACCTCGGAGCAGGGCCCCGCACACACAGTAATCCAGAAATTCTTCATTCTCTACACCATTTATAGAGGCCAGCAGCAAAACACATGCCACCAGCTCAGAGTAGCAGAGATAAAATAATTCAGCCCCATGCTCTTTCCCCGTGGTAGCTTCCTGACAGGCGCATCTGATTCATGTCATAAGGTGACCTGGGCCGGAAGAAAGGGCTGGAGTGGTCATTCAAGATGCCTCCAGAGGCCGAACAGTTTGCCTGGTGACATGCAGAGTCTAAGAGCCGCTTCCACACTGAGTGACTGCCACAAACCCCCACGAGGGAGGACAGAGCTGGAGGAGACATCATAGAGGTTTGAGCATGGTGGGAAATGGGGGACAGAGTTCTTTGGTCCTAAGAAATCAGGGTGCTGGGTTCAATGCACATTTTCTGAAGGCTCTGTAGTAAGATACAACAAAGCTAGAGCGACAGCCAAATAAGTACTTTGTTAGCCAAGGATAGACTCTTCAATTTTTCTAAAAGTCGCCGAGAAGAATGAGTTAGAAAACTGGTAATTGTCTGACCTGTATGTCTTGACTCTTCTTATGTGAGGGCTGGTCTACTACAAACAGGCAACGCCTTGTCTTCTGAACAGGGAAGCCAAGCTAATGCAGAGAGGTCCTGCTAGCAAAGAGGGGGCACCCGCGGCCTCGCCTTTCTGTCTTAACTCAGATTACTTAGCATCATCAGAGACTCGGTGCTCCAAATACAACTGATTTTCAGATGACAGAATTTTACCCTTTCAAAGCGTTTTTCATGTTAGCGATATTGATTTGATATCTTTTGAAACTTCGCAGATGGAATGCCTTAAGCCAGGGGTCCTCAAACTACGGCCCGCGGGCCACATGCAAATACAAATATTGTATTTGTTCCCGTTTTGTTTTTTTACTTCAAAATAAGATATGTGCAGTGTGCATAGGAATTTGTTCATAGTTTTCTTTTAAACTATAGTCCGGCCCTCCAACGGTCTAAGGGACAGTGAACTGGCCCCCTGTTTAAAAAGTTTGAGGACCCCTGCCTTAAGCTTTTATTTAGTAGCTCTGAAACATCGAAGGAAGGAGTTGGATAACCTAATCTCTAAGGTTCTTCGACTCCTGACATTTCCAGTCACTTATCTAACGGTGAGCCAGTGCACCGGGACCCGCGAGGCCTGCTGGACTATCGTGCCAGCCCGGCAGGTGCCAGCTTGGCTCATTCTGTCTCGGGGTGAGCTCTTCTGCTGCCTTCCTCGCTGTCAGGCGAGAAGAGTGCGCTTTTCTCTGTGACCAACATCACTTGCTTTTTGCATTTTGTTCTTTCGTAGCTTACAGCCACTAAAAATCGGATGGCTAGGCTTGTTATACCTCTGCGCTAAGAGTTACTAGATGAAGGCCTCTGCTGAGCGAAGCGCCTGGGTTCCAGTAAAGAGTCCCCACTCGCTCAGAGATCGCTCTGTGCCCCCCGCGCCCCCCCGCCCCAGGTTTACAGCCTGGTCCTGGAGGCTGACGTCCACGTAGTCTGATCTTTGAATGAGTGAGGATTCGTTGGGCTAAATTTGATTTTGAAATGGGTATTTAACAATTGTCATTTGATGATCACAAAAGCTGGTCTGGACTTCTTTGAAATCGTTGAACATGTGCGCTTTACCTAGCAGCCCCAGCTGCGTGATCTTTTTGGAGAAGTACTAGAATGCAGGAAGGAGGTACCAGAGAAAAACATAGCTTTGCATCCTGATGGTCTCAGACGCAGAAGATAATAACTCACGCCCCCTCCTTCTTGTTCTCTGATGGCACTGCTCATTTACCGCCCTCAAATGCACGCTGAGGACAAATGCTTTTTTGCTCATGTTTCCTCTTCCTAATATTATCGGTTCTCTTTCACATGCTCTGCTGGTCTCTTTTTTAAGTTTAGTTTGTGTCTCTGCAGCTCTCTCTTGGGCTTGATTCTGATTCTCTTTGCCCCCATTTCTTGGAGCCGCGCCAGGTGCCCTGGGGTTGACATTTGCACACTATCTCGGCCGCCCGCATCGTACCCTGAGCACCCTGGCTTTCGGCCTCCTTTGATTATCACTGTCTGATGAAAACAAAGATCAAAGCAGAGACAGGGGTGGGACTGCCCACAGGCAGATTAGCCTCACAATATACCTTCACTGTACTTCTCCTTGATGTGAGATTTGAAGGGGGTTAGTAGAGGCCTCAGCCGCTAGACACTGTACAATAACTACCCTGACCACCAGTCTTGCATCCTATGCTGGGACGCCACTCCATCGGAAGGGGGTCTGGGAGCTTTCAGGCACCAGCTGGAAAGACCCACCGGTGGTCCCCTGGTTACCCTGTCATGCTATGCATGGCTGCTCCAAGTCGGGGGGTCCGTGAGTGGGAGGATGATTCCCAGACCAGGGAGAGCAATCAGTGGTGGTTCATTCACCCTGTCACAAAATAGTAAAGGCACTTCTGTATTCAAGAATTCGGGTCCATGTTTGTGTGGCAATACATGACTGAAAAAAATAGAAAAAGAAAAGTCATGAGCTTTTTTAAAGACAAGTAAATATTTCATTTTCAGTAACTAGATACTTCAACATTATTTTAGTCTGAATACAAATTAGTTGTTTACCCACAGAAAATTTTATAACCATGACTTCATTTACATCCAAAATCAAATGTTACACTCGTGACCGCCACCCCAAAACCCGCCTCTCTGCCCAATGCACAAGAAAGTAGAAGACTGGACAGAAACGGAATCTTCCATTTGCCTCATTAATGCCACACTGTACACACCACAGTCACAACTGAGTCACAATGTGTCACATTTACTCATAAACGGAACAGTTTTGGGTGTGATGTTTGTAGTGGAAATTTGAGGATCTAGAAATTCTGGAAGTTTCCTCCATACCTCTGGTGTCACTCAAGAGACTTTGCAAAATGTCTATGTGCTGTCATTGCTCTCTCGCCTCCCCTTGACTCTAGCTGAAAGAGAATCACGTAAGCCGTCAGTCAGAAGGTATTTCCACAGGTAAACTGATCTAAGATCAAATGCTTGTTAAATGACTTTACATGGCACCCCCTACTTTCCTAACCCTTTCTGATGTCTTACTTTTTTTTATTATAGTAAATAAAGACAAAAAACCACAACACAAATTAACTATCCGAACCATTTTTAACTGTAGGGAGATGTTAAAAATTAACTATATGCACATTGTTCTGTGACAGATCTCTTGAACTTTTTCATCCTGAAAAAATGGTATCTATGGGACAATAACTCCCCTTTTCCTGCCCCCCCAGCCCCTGGCGACTACCATTCCACGTTTTGTTTCTAAGAGTTTGACTACTTTCAATACCTCATATAAGTGGTATTTATCTTACATTTCTTAAGTGTTGTATTCTGGAAAATGCTTTCTGCAACTGAAAAGTGGCTAGAGTTCTGAAGAACTACTGGTCTTACTGTGTCACTCACCTTACCTAATTTTATTTAACAAATATTCACTATGGTGTAATAAATAAGTCATGATGGAGTTATTAGGCTCAGTGGAATCTTTGTTATCTCAGATTATCTCACCCAGAAATTTGAAGTGGTTGGGGGGGGGGGGGGGTAACAGCAATGTTGATTTCCACAGCTATTTATTATTATCCAGTCTCTTTAATATTTGCCACCAAACATCACACGTGTGGCACTGTCCATACTGAGTTTCAAAATCATCACAGAAAAGAAAGTTCAAATGTAGTAAATACCATAGTCTTCAACAGGCATTTAAAGAGATAAGCCATCACAGCCCATCCTGTAACAAAAAGATAATTTCTCAGGGGGCCTAGGCTGTCCAGGGTTGCACCTGCCTTAGAAGTCAAGAAGAACTGGTTTTCTGGAGTCAGTTTTCCAGTCACTTTAACTTTAGCCTGGGGACCATTTCCAACTGGTCGAGCTATAGATCTTGGGACGCCATTCCTTACATTCCATGAATTCATGAGAACGTGGGTTTCATAGCCCCTGACTCTGCTCAGCGTCTCTCAGATCAAGGCAATGCTGCCGAGAACCACCAGTTACAGAACGTTTGGGTTTTCTTTCTTTCCTTCCTTCCTTGCCCCAAATCCACATGTCATTTCTGAGAAAGGCTAACAGCTTCTCCTGATCTGTAAGCAGCGAAAGTCCAGAGTCCACCTGCTGCAAAGGCCCTGTCCCTGAACTTGACAACTTCTCCCCTGTCCTCCCCTCTCCGCGCAGCCCAGCCAAAGGACGCCTTCTGCTTCTTCTTTGGTCAAAAGCCTCAGAGAAGGGCATTTGAGCACCTACTCAGGCCAGAAAGACCACTGACGTCTGGGCACCAAGTGCCTCTGAGGTGAGACTGGCATCTAGACTTTTCCAGATAGGCAGCTATCCTTCCCGTTCTCCCCCAAAAGGTCTGGGCGTTCTTACAGGCTGACACCTCTGCTGACTTGGACACGTTATCAAACGCGCTTTGCCACCAGGGAAGTCTGGAAGGGTTAATACTGTGCATTCTGGGGCAACTGTCTCCAGAATTAATCTTTTCTTTTCTCCCTGCCCCTAGACACATCCTCCTCCGAAGGCCTAGTGAGCAGTGGCCCTCCCAGAGCAAGGTCTGTGTCCCAGAGTCCCCTACGACAGAGCAGTGCCTGGGGAAGCGGGATTGGGTTTCCAATGATGGTCCTCACTCCAGCCCCTAGGATGTTTGAGAAACAAAATAAGCTTTGCAAGTTGCCTAAGTTCTGCAGCATCAGCAGGACCCTGCTGGGTCCAATCAAGAAGTGCCTTCGGAACAGAGCCTGACTCCTTCTTTCGGCCGCGCTGATTGGCTGTGGGAATGGGCGGGGCTACTGCCTCTGCCCGGCTTCCCATAGGTGAATGGAAGTGAAGGTGGGCCTCCAGCAAGATTTTGTCCCGTGACAACTTGGAATGTCTGGGGACTTTTTTTTTTTTTTTTTCCTGCTCCAGAGGCTCTGGGCTCAAGGCAAATCATAAGTGGGAAATCAATTTGAAGGAAAGACATTTGAACCCAGTTAAGGTGCCAGGTCCCAGGAAAGAAGCCCAGCCCCATCTGAAGTCTGCATCCTCTGCTGACAAACTTGGGGGGCCCTGATTTAAGGAAAGGGGGTACTAGGTTTTGTTTTGTTTTTTTAAGGGAAGAAGGGGTCCAGTGAAGGAGCACAGGTATGAAGTGAAACTGGCACTGCCCAAAAGAGGCCACAGAGGAGGACAATGATGGAGGGCACGGTGTCCTCTTGGTATCTTTAAGTTTTAAAGCCTTTCAATGACTTCTTCAAGGCCAATCAGCTACCGAAGAGGTGGAATTTTGATTGATTAAGGGGACCTTTGCTGGCCCTAGAATGCAGTTACTCTATTACTAACTCAGCAAAGAGGGAGCCCACTATGCCTCGGGTGACCATCCCTTCCCTGTTCATTTTGGCTGGGCATGAAACCATGCTCGCCAATCCCACCTAAAACAGGAGCGAGGAGCCCAGCCTCGGTGCCAGCAGGGGCTGTAACTGCCTCCTGTTCTGCCCCACGACGACACAGGACTCTGGGAAGCCGGGAGGTGTAAGACGTCTTCTGGACCACGCGCACCTGGAGGAGCGAAGGCATTTATCTGGCCGGCCCGGCAGGCTCCGAGGGAGCGAGCACAGGTCCGGGATGGGTCTGCTGAAGGGCCTGCTCGGGGTGAGGAAACTGCTGCTGTCCATCCTGGTGCCGCTGCTGCTGCTGCCCCTGCCCATGCTCCACCCCAGCAGCGTGAGTACCGCGGTCCACGGGCTCAGGCGGGGGTCAGGCAGGGGAGGGGGTGGAGGGAAGGGGGCTTAGGCAGCTCCTCGAGGTGTTTTGTTGATGGTTTGAAGAAATGGGAGTGTTTTCCTGGAGGAGGCTGGAATACTTTCTTCCTAAGAACTGCCATGGCCGGCCCCCTATCTCATTCCCAGTCCCCCTTCCCCGCGCCCCAGCCAGGAGTGAGGTTAGAGGAGGGGCAGCTGAGGGGGCTGATGTGTCACAAGTCAGTGGCCTTCCTGACCCGGGCGGGCCCATGTGCTGAAAAGGACACCTCGCCCAGTGGCTGTCAGGACTCGCATGGGACCATCTGTAGGGGAGAGCAGCCAGGATGCAGGAAGGCCTCCCCTGGATGACACTGAGGAGGGGGTGGGGAGGGACAGCAGAGCCGGCTGCGGGGGTGGGGGGGGGAAGGGGGGCTTTTGGTGGCGGGTCTCGGGCTCTGGTAACCAGGATTTGTCATTTCATCTCCAAAGTTCCCTTTGAACTTTGAATTGAAAGCAGAGCTCAGCGTCTTGCCCTGGTCCCCGGCCACCCCCTTTCATTGTTTGTAACCTCTGTGTTTTCTTCTCTGTGTTCCTGAAGGAGAACTATCAAATGACATGATAAAAAAGAAACAAGAGCCCCCAACTCTAGACCATGACCTAGTTTCTGACCGTTTGTGGGAGCAGAGGAACCACAGCTTTGGCTCTGCACTTGGCTTGCTTCTCAGACCACTGCTTGACTCCCTTCTCTTCCTTGCCCTCTCCTCCTGCCCCCTCCTCTCCCTCTCCCTCTTCCTCTTCCCCTCTTCTCTTCCTCCTCCTCCCCTCGGTGGCTTTACCCCCCCCCCCCATACCAATACCCCTGAGACTTTAGGGAAAATAAGCCGAGAGGTTAATCGTGGCTGTGGGAGGGAAGCGCACCCTCCACGCAGCTTCCTGAGTCACTTGGTAACCAAGATTAAGCCGTGAAGTTCAATAAAGGGGATTAAGATGTTTCTTCTTAATAACAACCTGGCTCAAATCTTTAGTGGAATAAGGGCCCCAGAGTGCCAGGGAGACGCTGATTGAAACGGGGCTGGGATCAGCACGCTGCGATGACTGCTGACAGCTCTCCTGGCCTGTCCGCCAGTCACCTCTCGGCTCTGTCCAAGCGAGCTGATGTTCCCTTTCTTTTTACATTTGTTTGTTTACTCAACATCAAATGGGTTTAAGGGGATATTAACCAGAGACTCATTGCCCTCTTCTTCCCCACAGCAGCACCCCTTGGGTCCCCTGAAGTCAGCCCCATCCTTGGGGAACTCACTGTAGGATGCAGTGCTCCCCACATTTCATCCTGACACCCCGCCTTTGAGCTTCTTAGTTACCAATGACTAGTAAGAAGTACCCACAAAAAGAAAAATAATAAATTATTGAATTAGGCAAAATAAGCTATACATTTGAGGGGGAATTGGGTAGTGTGGGGAGAGACGGAAGGACAGATGAGCTTTGGTCTGTGTGGGTCTAGAAATAATTTTTGCAGAGATGTTTTTAAAGCTGGACTTAGACTAATAGACGTGCCCTTTCTTGACTTGGCCCTTTTTTCAGATTGAGTTTCTCCTTTGGTTGGGACAGGGTTCTCAACAGCCACACTAGTGACATTGGGGGTGGGGTGGGGGGTGTGTGGAGCTGTCCTGTGCATTGTAGGGTGATTAGCAGCATCCAATTAGGTGCCAATCACACACACTGCCCGCCCCCCACTAGGACATCCAATAGTGCTTCCAGACACTACCAAGTATCCCCTGGGGGGCAACATCACCCCCAGTTAAGGACCAGTGCCTTAAGAAAATAGAAATACGCTACCTCTGAGTTTCCCAGCCAGTTCACCTGGTTAGAGGGGGGCAGATGTGTCAACCCCATCGCCCTCGGGACAGCTAGATGGAGCCTGGTGGCTGATGCCCTGAGAGCTGGATGCAGCCTGCTGGCCACCACCCCAGCGTGGCCTGCAAAGATGACTTCTCTGTGTGTCACAGTGTCAAGGGCCCTGCTCCTCTTCCTCTACGATGACGGAAAAGCACCTTGAGGTCACCATCCTTCCTACCTTGTACCCAATTTTTAGATTCTGATATTTAGTCCTTAAGATTCCTAAATGGACTTGTTCGCTCGGGGCTGGAGCCAAGAGAAGTGGCCTGGATAGCAGCCACTCGCCTGTGGTTCTGATGGTTCTTCAAAGTGACAAGCTACGTTTTAGGAAGGGTTAGAATGACCTTCCTTTTCCTGTCCAGCTCTCTAAAACCAGAGCCCAGACTCAGTTTACCATGTTACAGAAGAGGAGGGTACAACACAGGGGTTCCATAACTAAGCCCCGCTTTGGCAGGGTGGGGTGGGGAGATAAATGTTACACCCAATTCCCAAGGTAGATTTCAAAAAGGCTTCCCCGTCACTAAGACAGCAAATACATAGACCACAAGCCCCTTCCAGTGAGGTTTGGATGGGATGTCACTGGGGTGGTAGATATCACTGCATGAAAAAGGAGCAAAGACAACCATGAGGGGGGTAGCAGAATCAGGAAACGTCTGATAGGGGGAATGCCACTTTGAACTCTCCCCCTTCTTTGTAAACAGGAGCAAAAAATCCCACAAATGACAACACTTTCTCTTAAAGACACAGCCTGAATACTTGCCTTGCCCTACACGCCCGCCGGCCAGTGGCAGTGATAAGGGGCCTGGGATTCTTAGAACGTTTTCTCTGGTAGATAATAGAGAGCTGTCGGCCAACAAAGGGGCCCAATTCAGTTCGGCCAACATTGAGCCACCTACCATTTACGGGCCAGATGTGGGGACATCAGACCTCTGTAATCAAACTTCACAGGGTATTTTGGGGTGACTGAATATACGCTTACTATTGAATTCTGAGGAGGTTGAGAAGGGGCAAAAGGAAGTCTATGTATTAAATTCCATGGGTGGACTGAGTGAGGAATATATGGATAAGCCCTCTGAAGGTGGTCTCTTGGTTTTTCGTCTGCTCTAAGGAAAGTCCAGGTGACAGTGACGGTACTTTATCCTGTTCTTTTTAAATATTGATTTTAGAGAGAGGAAAGGAGAGAGGTAGAAATATTGATGAGAATCATCGATCGGCTGCCTCCTGCCTCATGGGGATCAAACCTGCAACCTGGGCATGTGCCCTGACCTGGAATGGAACCACGACCTCCTGGTTCATAGGTCGATGCTCAACCACTGAACCACACCACCCAGGCTCACCTGTTCTTAATACTGCTGGGTGAAGGTGGCTTGTGACTCCCTCCAGTAACCTATTCTAATTCTTAACAACAGTTACAATAAAAAAGTTTACCTTGGCTTACTCCAATTCTCCTAATTCAAAGCAAAATGGTGCCTGGTAACAAGGAAAGTTTCTGTCTCTCATTTTCAGCCTGTCTCCCCTTCTCCCCTCGCTGAACTTGTGGCCCTGAAACGACCAGGAGAAGAAAGACTGAAGGTTCTCAGGAAGGAATAAGCATTTCTCAGTGAGGGATGGTCTGTCCCCTTTATCTTCAACTGGAGTTAAGAGCTGCCATGTTGTCTCCTTCCCAGGCAAAGGTTGGGAATAAGTGGCCTTCAGTGAGCTAAAGGGCTTTGATCTCCCTTGGGTAGTTTTATATCTACAACAAAGGAGGTATTTCTCTAAATTGCATTCTTTTCCAAATGGAGCCTTTTTATTTTTCCACTAGTGATTCTGTTGTCTTATCAGCACTTCCAAAAAATTTTAACTTCTCTGTGATCTTTTGGCCCCGGGGAATTCTCAGTGGGAGCTACAGTCAACAATTGTTGGGGTAGTTCCCATTTCCCAAGCCTCACCCCACAATCCTTGCATATTAGGAGGGAGCAAGGGCCCATCCAGCCAAGCGGGGTTCATCACTCCTGGCGACCTTCACTGATCACGGCGACCTTTTGAAACTTTTATGCAAGAGTGTGAAACACTTGTTCTGAACCCAAAGGAGAAATAAACAGAACAAGATTGTCAGGTTCCTTGATCACCAGCCAGCTTCAGGGCAGGTCAGACCTGAGCCCAGATGGTTTAGAACGATGTATAATTTGAGGAACCCACAGTCAGCTTGGATCTTTTACACAGCGCTTCCCCCCCGCCCCACCCCACCCCACCCCGCCCCACCCCGAGTCCATTGTTAAGACCCTTGGACAGTGACCTCTCCCAACAGCAAGCCAATGATCATTAACCATTTCAGGAAGCCAGCATTACTGGAGGCCAAAATGAAGGAGAGTAATTTTTTTTACAAGAATGTTGCATTAATTAATTCTTTGCAAGCAGCAAAGTGAGTGGGCTGGGGAAACTGGTACATTTCCAGGCCTTCCCTGCCAGGTCCTAGCACTCTTTATTTCCTTTATCAAAAGAATGCTCCCTCCTGCGTCCAGCAGGTGGAATGGAATCCCAGAGCAATGAGAACCAGACACTTAAGACACTGATTCCCCTTCTCTCCCCAAGGAACACTTGGCAATGTCTAGACCAGGGGTGGGCAAACTTTTTGACTCGAGGGCCACAATGGGTTCTTAAACTGGACCGGAGGGCCGGAACAAAAGCATGGATGGAGTGTTTGTGTGAACTAATATAAATTCAAAGTAAACATCATTACATAAAAGGGTACGGTCTTTTTTTTTTTTTTTAGTTTTATTCATTTCAAACGGGCCGGATTCGGCCCGCGGGCCGTAGTTTGCCCACGGCTGGTCTAGAGACTTTTTGGGGAGGTGCTACTGACACCTAGTGGGTGGAGGCCAAGGATCCTGCTAAACATCTTACCATGCACAGGACAGCCCCCAGGGCAAGGAATTAGCTGGCCCCAGATGGGACAGGGTCGGAGCTCTCATGTGAACCCATCACACAGATTGATCCCTACTTTCAGCTACCCCAAGAACCTCTAGTGTCCGATCAACTTGACATCAAAATATCCTTCTGGGAGCTCCACCTTTACATACATGACCTCAGCTCTGAACACTGCAGTTGGTTTTGGCCCTGACCCCACAGTTTCAGGAACCAGCAGAGCTACAATGTCCTAACAGCCTGATAGCCACCCTGTTGGAGGCCAATGCAAACCACATGGCAGGTGTCTGTTCACCTGAGGAGCAGCAATTACTTCACACACCAATGTACGGGTCCCACACGTTTCCACCACACTCCTCTGCCAGGGCTGTCCCCCAGCACCCACGTCTGAGTCTGGATGCCTGCTGCCTCTGCCCTGGGTCTCCTCTGGATTCTCAGTGCCAGGGGCTGTCCCTGTGACTGACCACCCACTTTCTTCCCCTTCCAGGAGGCTTCATGTGCGTACGTGCTGATCGTGACCGCTGTGTACTGGGTGTCTGAGGCCGTGCCTCTCGGAGCTGCAGCCCTGGTGCCTGCCTTCCTCTACCCATTTTTTGGAGTCCTCCGATCCAGCGAGGTTAGTCCCCTTGCGGCCCAGCCCCCCGCTTGGGTCAATGCCAGGGCGGTGAAAGAGGGTTCAAGGTGAAGGAAGATACACAAAGCACTTAAGGTAATGGTTTTTTCATCCTCTAGAACAACCCCATAGCACTAAGCCTTTGCACATGCTGCTCTGGACCCTGAGTTCCTCTCCCTCCACCAGTGACCTTCATCAAACTGCCCATTTCAGTAGTTTGGGAGGGAACGTGACTTTTCGAGAAGGAAAAGAAGACTGGCAGTGAAGGGTTAGGTGTTATTATGCTGGGGCTGCAGACAGACAACATTGGCGGAGTCAGAGGGCAAGTTTTATTATTTGAAGTGAAAAAGCCTATGCTATCTGTACGACCAAGTGGCTGTGGCGACATTTAGCAACTGGGCTACAGAGAGCAGTGTAGGCCAAATATAGTCAGTCTAATTGGACATCAAACTCAGATTAGAAGACAAATGACAATAAGAGAGAGGAAATGGGTTAGAGCTCTTTGTGAGTCAGTTAACTCTGAGCCACAGCCTCCGGCACACCCCTGCACCTAGCTCATCAGCAGGAGCTCCCTGTTCCAGAAAACTCGTCTACTTGTCACTCCCCAAACCCACTGTGTGCTTGCCCAGCCCCTTGCCATGACTCAGACCACTCTTCCTCCCTGAAAAGTTCTCTCCGATTCCTTTAACCTTTAAAATCCTACCCAGTTACCCTCTTTGGTGAAGCCTCTCCAAAGCCTTTGGCTAAAAGTGTTCTCTTCCCTTGGAGCCTATCTGACGTCTTTAGCCTTTAAATGGTGCGTGAGATACACCAACTTTCTGCAGACTTGTCCTCTCTCCACCAAGATTCCCGCCCTCTAGGATGTATGATGTCTATGGTGTGTGGGCCCTCAGTTAATGTTTCTTGATTGCAATGTTTCCTGATGGTGTTTCAATAGTGTACTCTCCATATGGAGGCAGGCATGTGGGTAATAGGATAGGTGTGATGCTGGGACTGTGGCTTTGGCCCTCATGTTACTCACTCAACATTCGGAAAAGTATTTTCTGAGTTTTGTATCTACCATGTGCGAGATAGGATATTGAGGGTACCCTGAGGGTGACAAAAATGAAACGCATAATTTCTGCTCTCTTCAATCTCACAGAATCTTCCCACTGTCAGCTCAATGTGTGCCTGGAAGTGGCTCATTTTAAAATATATATATTTTATTGATTTTTTACAGAGAGGAATAGAGAGTTGGAAACATCAATGAGAGAGAAACATCAACCAGCTGCCTCCTGCACACCCCCTACTGGGGATGTGCCTGCAACCAAGGTACATGCCCTTGACCAGAATCGAACCTGGGACCCTTGAGTCCACAGGCCAACGCTCTATCCACTGAGCCAAACCAGTTAGGGCTGAAGTGGCTCATTTGTATGGTGACTTGTTGGTCGGCAGGAATTAAGAGTTTGTTATGTGCAAAGCTTAGACTGCTTTCTGTCTACAGAACTCAGGTGCTGAAAAAAAGATATGAGATTATAGAAGTGACTCCAGACCTTAAGAGGTTTCTATTCTAGCAGAGAGGAAGTATAAACCACGTGGAAAAACACGGAAGACCCTATGCAATAACGCCTCACTTTCCAACACTGCAGAGGGTTTACATACTTCCCCCTGAAGGAATGTCGTAGATAAATGAAATTTACCCAGTCAAGTGCCCAAAGTTTATGTTGACCATTTTTTGATTGAAGTCTTTCTTTCTAAACAGCTTTATAATTCCCCTGGTCTTTTAAACAAAAGTTGTTGAACATAAATTAACTTTTTCTTTGGAGCCTACACAATTTCCACGGGAAAAAATTTCCCAATCAGAGGAGCCAATATGGGCTGGACAAGAGCACAGTCGAGTAACTTGAATGCTGGTTGACCAGCAGAGCCTAAAGAATCTTGAGTAATGTACTGGCAGCGGACTGGAGACAGAGCCCAAGAGAAAATATAAAAGGCATGTTATTGGATTTGCAGATGACTCAGAGATGGATGGGCTAGCTACTGTATGGTGACAGAATCAATGTTGACAGACTAAGACAATGAACTAACATGAAGTTCAATAAGGATAAATGTTAACAGTCGTGTGAAAAAGACCCTTGGCTCTGCGTTGAGTACAAACTCAGCATGAGTCATCTATCAGTGCAATGTGGCTGCCAAAATTTCGAGCGTTTACCATATGCCAGGCACTATGGGAGGTCTTTTACATGCATTCTATCATTTAATCCTCTATAAAGTGACTAATATTTTTATCTTCACTTTACAGAGCAGGAAACTGAAGTTCAGAGAGGTTAAGTAACTTACTGGAGGCTACACAGCTAATAAATAGTAAAGCTTGAACCCAGGATTGAATGATCCCAGAACTTGCACTCTTAACCACTGGCCAAAATGTACTGAAATCTGCTGAATTGACAAACATGTGTATCCAAAGCATCAGGTTCTGGATAGGAGCTCATTCAGAGGTAGCTAGCCAAGATACCAAAAACCTAGACGTGAGTCACATGAGGAACAGAGAAAACTCAAGAGGAGCATGATTTCTGGCTTCTACAGCTCAACACACCAGGCTCACAGGTCAAACCAGAACCTAAGAACCAAAGCACCGTAAGGGAGATCCTGCTGTGAGGGAGGGAAGCCTGGAAGGGGCTGCGAGTGTAGTCCTGGTGTTCCTGTCCCTGAAAGGGGCTGCGAGTGTAGTCCTGGTGTTCCTGTCCCTGGAAGGGGCTGCGAGTGTAGTCCTGGTGTTCCTGTCCCTGGAAGGGGCTGCGAGTGTAGTCCTGGTGTTCCTGTCCCTGGAAGGGGCTGCGAGTGTAGTCCTGGTGTTCCTGTCCCTGGAAGGGGCTGCGAGTGTAGTCCTGGTGTTCCTGTCCCTGGAAGGGGCTGCGAGTGTAGTCCTGGTGTTCCTGTCCCTGGGAGTGTAGCCACATGACCATGCCAGGGATGCGAGGTTGGACTTTGTGCCTTGGGAGAGGGTTGGACTCTAAGGATGCTTTGACTTTAGGATTCTGTGATCTTGTGGGCATCTGGCCAATACTTCCCCTACTGGTACACAGAGCTCGGACCTATATTTTAGATTTGCTTTTAGGTTTTGGTTTTGGTTTGTTTTGCCTCCAGCGTGTGCCACTGCTGTCCTTGTATCTGCTTCTAAAGTTCTCTAAGGCCTTCTGATGGGACAGTACCTGTGTCAATCAAGCTAGCTAAGATTTACTGTTTATAGGAGACAGGCATCGAGGAGGGGGCAGAGGGGTCTCTGGGGCAGTAAACAGCCTGGTTTGAACACTGGGCTTGGGATAGTTGCCAGGACGCCCGGGGTCAGGAGTGACTGCTCTCTCTCCACCCCTCCCGAGTGCGCGCAGACACACACACCCTCTGCCGCCTCCGTGGCCCTTCATTGCAGGCCCCCCGCAAGTCTTGTTCAGATTCCAGCTCCTGCTGGGTCCAGAGAAGCAGGTCCGGCTGGGATAACAAAACAGCCGTAACAGCCAAGTGACGCCTGGGTCTGGTGTCATGAATCTGCTTCCCTGTGTGTTCCTGAACGTTCTGACCCGCCGGATTCCTGACCAATGCCTGGACCCCAGCTTTCTCTGTTTGTTTAAACCTGGAGCATTTGCTACACCAATCTCCACTCTGCCTTCTGGCCTCCGCTCACCATGGAGGCTGACCCTCCTGCGTACTGGCCTGGGCAGATGGAGGCCGAGCACCTGGGCCCGGCCACCTGCCTAACTCCAGGCTGCCTGTCACCCACAGCCATCCGGACACAGCCCAGAGCGGAGCTCCACACCCAGGTCTTAGCAGGGACTGGAACCAGGAATATCTTGTAGCTTTTGAGGCCACGCTGGTGTTTCTGTGGGAAAGAAGGAGCCAGCCCTTCGCCTCTGGGCGCAGAGCCCAGCCCAGTTTCCTCCACTGGGGCAGCTCAGACAGCCCTGGAGGAACTGGGGGCTCTTATGTCCGCGTGTCCAGCTCTGCAGGAGCTGGGCCCACTTCGGGGCCAGGTCAGCACCCATCTGGGCTCTCTGTTTGAGCTTCTCTAGGGTACGGTTTGCCAAAAATGTTTTTTTAAGCAACAAAACATTTTCTTTCGTCCAAATCTCAGGAGACCCAATACATACAGGGATGGAAGAGGAAGTCCTCCTCAAACTGGGGATGGGGACCCAGAGCCCAGGCTGCTAGGGCCCTTCCCGCAGGCAGTGGGTGTGATTGGAAAGCCTCTGTCCTCAAATCAGGTGGCTTCGGTGGAGTTCACATACAGGTCTCCAGTAGATGCAGCATCCTGCCCCTGGGAAGGGCTGAGAGCCAGACACAAAGGACTTGGCTGCTCAGCTCGGGAACCAGCTGCAATGGCGTGGTGGGGGGTCCCTCTCTCATGGGGAACCGTCCAGGCCTCCCCTCCTGGGGTTTACAGGATTTGACTGCAGAATTGTTCAGATGAACAAACAAAAAAACTCAAATAGGTCCATTGCCAGAGGCCACGCTGGCCTCCTGAGGGGCTGTGACATGCCTGCCACTTGCAGAGGCCCCCTGACAGCTTGACTTGCCAAGAGAGCCGGGGTCTGAGGCTGGCATCAGGGTGCTGAGTGGCTGAGATTCCGAGGGGACCCACCCAAAGCCACCGAATGCCCATGTCAGGTCCGCACACCCTGCTGGTCCCTATCTGCCTCGGCCATGAGCCAGGAGAATGGCCACGCGGAAGCGGCCTGGACCCACACTGGAAGTAGGGCAGAATGGAGTGGGGATCAGTTTTGGCACTGACTAGGCTTGAGCAAGTTGAGTAACCTCTCTAAACTGCCATGTACCCGTCTGAAAGCTGCCAATGACAGAAAGGCCTACCTCCTGGGGAGTCATGAGGATGGCACACTATTCTGAGTGTGAGTCCGAGGTTAACAGCCAGATCTCCACTCTCCTCAAACTTCTAGCCATAGATCTATAGCTCCCCTCCCCTTTTTATTTTTTAAATTTATCTTTATCATTGAAAGTATTACAGATGTGCCCCTTTTTTTCCTCATTGACCCCCTCCACCCCGTATCCCCGTACCCCTCCTCCCATGCCTTCTGTGTCCATGGGTTATGCATATATGCTTATAAGTTCCCCGGTTAATCTCTCCCCACTCACCCTCCCCCGCCTTCCCTCTGAGATTCATTAGTCTGTTCCATGCTTCTATGTCTTTGGATCTATTTTGTTCATCAGTTTATTTTGTTCACTAGATTCCACATATGAGTAAGATCATGCGATACTTGTCATTCTCTGACTGGCTTATAATATTACCCAGGTCCCTCCATGCTGTTGTAAATGACAAGAGTTCCTTCTTTTTTATTGCTGCATATTATTCCATGGTGTAAATGTACCATAGCTTTTTTACCCACTCATCTAATGATGGGCACTTGGGCTGTTTCCAGATCTTAGCTATTGCAAATTGCACTGCTATGAGTGTAGGGGTGCATACATTCTTTCTGATTGGTGTTTTGGGTTTCTTAGGATATAGTCCTAGAAGTGGGATCACTGGGTCAAATGGGAGTTCCATATTTAATTTTTTGAGGAAACTCTATATTCCCCCCTCCCCTTTTTAAAAAACGTTAAAAATATTTTTGAAAACCTATCTAGAGAGCAATACATAATTGTGTCCAAAGTGATGTTTTTAAGAGCTTGTGGCTAACAGGTGTCACTGCAGTTCACTAACGATGAACCGGTTAGTTAACGGACTACATTCAGCAGCATTTCTGCCCTTGTGCCTCTGGATCCCTGCTGGGTCAGAAAGCTCTGGCGATGCACTTGCCCTTCACTTAAGAAAATCTGGAGGAATTTTTGTCTTTTAGGTCCACCTTGCTCTTTATTTCACTGATTTCTCTCATTCCTTTATTTGATCATGCTGGCACCCCTGCTTCCTAACCCTCAATCTCATCTTGGAGCTTTTTCTTACTTCTTTCATGATCATAATGAACATTTATTGAGCACTTCCTACATGCCAGGCACTGCCCTAAGAGCCCACCTGAGTGATCTTACTGAAGGCCTATGTCACGATGGAGTAAATGAGCCACGTATCATTAATCACACTGAAAAGGTTGGAGTGACGAGCCACAAGCGTTCAGCAGTTTATCCAAGAGCATATAACTCGTCTAGACAATCAAGCAACCCCTTAAACCAAGCAGCCTGAAGTCCAGAACCCAAGCTCTAAATTGTTGTACTCTGCTCGGCCTTTTCAAAGCAGTTTCCTTGAGCCAATCCCTTCTAAAACTCAGTCCAGAAACACCTCTGCTCTCCAAATCCAGTGACTTGGCACAGAGAAAAACCACAGAGCAGAAAAGGGCAATAAAACCACCACTGAGAATGTCACAAAACCATGCATTCTACTCGTGGGAGGAGCACTCATTTTAAAATCTCTCTTCTCTGTGCAAATAATTCTAACAAGCTTCATCACAGAGTTTCCCACTCACAGGATATTAATCTTGGAAATTAGATAGTGGGGGGGAAAATGCTTAGTGCAAATGTGAGCACACAACACATTTTAGGAAATGATTAACATAATCATTAAGAATCCTAGAACTTCAGTGTTTATTGTAAAAGAAATTCAGTGGGCTCGACAGCTAACAAACACCACCATTGGACGGGGTTTTAATTTATAAAAGCGAAAAGGCAGTCCTGTGCCTGGGCCCACTCAACGTGCAATGGCCTCAGGCCCAGTCAGCCTTTGTGTGGCCCACTTAGTAACAGGAAGCACCGCCGGGATCCCGGTTGTCAATGCGGTGGCCATGTGCCATTTAATCTTCACAACAGCTTTACAAAAGGTAGGAACTCACATAATCCTCGTTTATTTCTAGATGAAAAAAAAAAAATGAAGCCCAGAGAGGTTGAGTAACTTACCCAGGGCCTCACAGCCCAGTCCTGGCTGACTGCAGAGGCCCCACTCTTTACGACTTGACTGCATTACTCCCTGATCACAACCACAACCAGGCTCATCGCCCAAGCGCTGCGCATCACTGACTGGGGGGCAGGGAGGGCGCTGGGTAGAGCTGAGCCCACCAAACAAAGTCAGAAAGCAGCACAGCGCCAGCATCAGCTTAGGCTGACCTGGGCCAGGTGTGGAGGGCCAGTGCCAGGACTTCCCTCCTTGGCACACAGAGGAAATTGAAACACTGACTCCACCACCAAGTTACCTCTAGGTATCCTGGGAAGGGGAGGGTGCAGTGAGAAAGGTCCTGGGCCCCCAGCTCAGCAGCTGCCCACAGGCATCCCTGCCTGCTTTCACCGCCCACTAGGGGGCAGCATCTCCACCCCTGGGCCCAGCCCAGTGGCTTCCCAGCCCTTTGCAGCCAGCCGCCAGCCAGCCGCCAGCCAGGGGCCTTCTCCGCCCTCTGGGAGCATAGTGACAGGGTTAGTGAAGCCTGGGGTTGAGGACAAGAACTAGTTTAACCAGAAACAGAGGAAATGGTCACAGAGAGGGCAGATGCCCAGACTCCTACACAAAACTCATGAACCAGACACAAGGAAATCATGGGGACAAGAGGGAGAAGGGGGAATGGGAGCCGACTGCCTTTATTTTGACTTTTATGTTATCAAAGTGTCCCATGAGTTTAAAGCTCAAATAATACTGAAACACAATGAAAAACCAGCAGTTTCCTGCCCCCACCCCTCCCCACTGGACCTCCCCCTACCCTGGGTCAATAACTTATATATTTTTTATATTTTTAATGTAGCTTTATTGTTGAAAGTATTAGAGGTGTCCTCTTGGGTCAGTAACTTAAATTTGCTAACTGCTTCTCCTGGTACAAAGCTCCATATTCCTCTATGTATTATGATTTTAATTATTGCGTTAGCCCCATGATATGAGTAAGTCTCTTACATCCCTGGATCCCCCTGACATGAGTATATCACAATTGTTGTTACTTCCCTAATCAATGCTTACCAGTGTGATTATGTAAATATTGTTTACTTCAAACACTATATAATGTCACGTTTCATTTTCTGTTCAATGTTTACTCTTCCCACATCTAAAAAATGTTGTTTTCTCACTGTAAGCGGGTTCCTAAGTTAGAAGTTAAACTTTTCTGCATATCTTTCCCCCAAGGCTCTGTCTTGGTTGCATTGCTGGGAGCAATTCTCATGTGGGTGACAGATATTTATTGAGCATCTACCTTTGCATGTTATTCTACCAGGCGTTGAAGATACAGAAAGACTAAAATTGGAAAGACTAAAATTTGATCAGGAGACGAGAGGGTCACATAAAAAAATATAAACAGTACGGCACGAAGCAACAATTCGAGCACTGCCCGCAGTGCTCTGTGACAGGTGGAATGAATGGTGCCTGGAGGGAACAGCCTGGAGCCGGAAGCTAGAGTCCCGAGTCCTGAGGAAGGTTTAGGAGGCATGGGCCTGACCTGGGCGTTGAAGTCTGAGCAGTGTGTACAGCAGAGATGAGAAGAATGTGCCAAGTGAGGGAGGGAATCAATGAATAGTTGGTCCGTGGACCCCAAACATGTGAAACATCTTTTCAGCAGGCCCCAGTCTCAATTTCCTCATCACTAAAAAGTGGGAAGGAGTTGGTAACTGGTACTGTGGTTGTGTAAGACAAAAATTTCTATTCTTAGGAAATATTCACAGAAGTTTTGGGGGGTAAAGGGCCAAAATTAATGTAACTTACCCTCAAATTGTTCAGAACAACAACAACAAAAAACTATGCAGAGAGACAGTCTGTGGGTATTCCTTTTACTATTATCGTTTTTGGAACTCTTTGGAATTTTTGATTATTTAGAGTTATTTAAATTGAATAAAATTTTAAGGTTTAAGGCTAGTTATAAAGGCACCTTAAGAACTCTATCCTAAGAAAATAATCACATTTATATAAGGTTAACAATTTAAGCATTTGTAGTGGGGAAAAACAACAACAAAAATTAAATATTCAACATAAAGAAAATGGCCAAATAAATTTTATGATACATTATGCTGCCATTAACATAAATGTTTTCCAATAGATTTAAATTTCATAAGAAAATGATCAGGGTATGATGTAATAGAAAAAAGAGCAGGATATAAAACTGTACATACTGTATAAATCCAATTATGTATCAATATAGACATTACAAAATTGAAGAACATACCAAAGTATTAACAATAGTAGGCTTCAGGGTAATTTTATCTTTAAATTTCTATATTTTTATTTGTCTGTTTGCTTTTTAATCCTCACCTGAGGATAGTTTTTCCATTGATTTCTAGAGAATTTCTAGTGGGGGAGAGAGAGAGAAACATAGACATGCGAAAGACACATCAATTGGTTGCCTCCCACACACACCCCTAATGGGACTGGGGAACTTGCAACCAAGGAATCGAACCTGGGACCCTTCGGTCCGCAGGCCCACGCTCTAACCACTGAACAAAACCAGCCAGGGCTACATTTCTATATTTTGAAGTTTTCCATAATGAACATGTATTGATTTTCTAACAAAAAAAAAAGCTAAAGAAAAAAATGAGACTTAGGGATAAACCCAGGGTTATTTAAATAATTTTTAAGCATTAAGATAAAATTATAAGTATGGTTATTCTTTGAAATCATATTTATAATGTTTTTATATCTTTAAAAAGGTGAAGAAGAATATTGACCTTATGGGGTTATTGGCAGGTTTAATGAAATAATCTTTGTGAAGTTCTTAACATAGAGCCTGCCAAGGTAGTGTGTGTATATGTATATATAAATTAAAAACAAAAAGTTTTTAAATATATGTAACAGTGAGCTATTGTAATAACCCTCAACTCCCTGCTTCTTGTTTGCCTGGTTAAGGATAAGACTTGTTTGGCATAGCCAGGCTGGGGAGGGGGTGGAGGAGGGCAGGCCATGGGGGGTCGTGGAGGGGGAGTGGGCCCTGGGTGGGGCGGGGGTGACCTGCTGGCCCCTGCAGGTGGCGGCCGAGTACTTCAAGAACACCACGCTGCTGCTGGTGGGCGTCATCTGCGTGGCGGCGGCCGTGGAGAAGTGGAACCTGCACAAGCGCATTGCTCTGCGCATGGTCATGCTGGCCGGAGCCAAGCCGGGCATGTAAGTGGCACTGGGGGTGTCCAGCCATGGTGGGCCACCGGGGCATGTCCACTTCTACCGGTGGGGATGGGGTGACCTGCAAGGCCAGGGGCTCTCACCTCTCCCTCCAACGGCAGGGCCTATAACCATGGAATGGAGACGTGAGTGTGTGACTCTGGGGTCACCTACTGTCACAGTCTAAACAATGTATCTGAGCAGCCCAGACTGCGAGGGCGGTGGGTTACAAAACTGGACGGACTAACCTAAACTGGTTCCCAGCCTTTTTCGGGTGCATCAGGAAACAGGCTGGACAGGAAGTGGTGGCTTCTCCTTTGTCATGAAGGAGATGTGACGGTTTCATTGCCCAGGCCAGACATGCTGTCCTGTTGCATTTGACCACGTCTGCCACGCAAGGCCTGCCCTAGCAGCCTCGTCTCTTCTCTCTGCTTCACGAGGCGGGGAGAGATTCGAGCCTTGGGAAATGTGCAGGAAAGTCAGGTTGACAGTCCGGATAACCTCACCCCTGCTCCGCTGCACAACTTTCTTGCTACATTTTATGTAAACTGCCCTGACTCCTTTGGGAATCAAACGACCCCTTTAGGGTCTAAACAAATAATTTGGGATTCGTTTTCAACATTAGTCATTAGATTTTGCTTAAAAGGATGTTCCTGTCTCCCACTTAACTGCAGCTTCATTCAGCACAACTCGCCTCCGCACTAGTAACAATCGCACGCAGCCTCCTAGGCGCACAGTGGCATTTCCTCCCACCATCCAGGGACTCTGAGGCCCTTGGAGACCTCTGTACTGTCTTCAGGGATTTGTATCCCATCAGGTTCCCACTTGTCTCTATTTACCTCAATCCCAGCAAGTTGCCACCCCCTGGGGTGCTCTGCACCCGCATATCCAGGGCAGGTGAACAAAACACCATCAGGACCTTGGCCCACGAGACACGAGTCACGTGATACAGGTGCGGTCCCAGGTGTGCAGTCATGGTTCCATCTAGAGTAATAAGCACGGCCATCTTCATGTTGGCCTGTCTTATGGAAATGAGAACCATGTCTGCACAAACACAACTGCATGCTTTCAAAGCCGACGAGAAACAACTGGAGAGCTCTCTCTGTGTCTTCCTCCAAGTGCTGACCCTGTAAGACACAAGCTGGGAAGGTGCTCCCAGTGATATGGGCTCGTCTGTGACTCCAGCCGGTTGACAGTGGGACAGGATGGCGGGACTGTAAGCTTTGTTTTGGTCACTAACTGTGGTGACTTGGCTGCAAAGCAAGGCATGTCATGGTACTCATAGAACTGCTGGCTGCAAGGGCAAAAATAGAATTCCTTCCCACACAAAGAACATACATCATCCCCAAGCTAATATCCACAGAGAGGGGAGCAATCAGTAAGGCCATGCCCTCTGACCCCACGACCAAAGCTATTCTTTAAGTAAGGGCTTTTTTCTGGCTAAAGCTGCTAGCCCATGAAGTGTGATTCATTCATTCATTCAACAAGTGTTTATTTACTATTTACTCTGTGCTAAACCCTGGGAGTACAAAGCCAATGGAAGACGTAAAAACCCAATTTTTTGGATAAATTCTGGCCATGGTACTCAAGGCCAACACCATCGGGTCTGTTGTAGGCCCCCCCAGAAGCCCTGGGAGACGGGCAATTGGGGGTTCCCCTGCTGCTGACGCTCTGCCTGCCCTCCCTGCCTTCCAGGCTGCTGCTCTGCTTCATGAGCTGTACCACACTGCTCTCCATGTGGCTCTCCAACACGTCCACCACCGCCATGGTGATGCCCATCGTGGAGGCCGTCCTGCAGGAGCTGGTCAACGCCGAGGAGGACCAGCTCATGACCAGCAACTCCAACACCGAGGAGGCCGAGCCCACCAGTACAGTTTGCTGGAGTCCCTGTGCCCTTTGTCCCTCTGACTCCTCCTGTGATACCCAGCCCGGTGCCCTCACCTGCTGCTTCCCCTTCCCTCCCCTCCATCCCATACCAGTCCTCGCAGCTTGAAGCTTCCCTGAGACCCTCCCCCAACTGCCAAATCTTTATTCTTCCCCCACTGACAGCAGCCACCACTGTTCCTTTCCCCCAACACTCAAGGGTCAGGACAAGCCACGAGTCCCACCACACCTTCCGGGGGGTGGAGTTGGGGGGGGCTTAATGCACCAGGCCCCAGCAGAAGCCTTTATGCCCTATTTCCCCACTCAGCCCTGAGCCCCTGAGCCCTGCCTGTGGGGGCACGTCCAGCCTCCTCATCTCACTTCCTGCTTTCCTTTGCTACTGTAGGTCTTGGTGCAAACAATAGCCAGCCTTCTCTGGAACTCATCTTTGTCGATGAAGAGTGAGTATGACTGCCCTCCTCCCAGGCAGAGCCTCTCCACGTCCATTCTGAGGTCAGGAAAGCTGGGACCTGAGCCTGTACACAGCTCTTTCAGACGAACGGGCCACGCTCACATCTTGCCAGGCCACCACCTCCCCTTGCCCTGATTTCCTCCCCACACCTGGGAGCACCCTGCCAAAATCTTGAAGGCAACTTCCTTAACCACAGGGTATTGCAGTGATCGGGGGAGAGATAAAAAGACTACACTAAATCTGAGGGGGTATGTTCATGGTCTATATATCTACCAAGTTGAATTTCTCTACATTGACGTTCCTCTTAGGAGAATAATATGTTTAATCTATCAATGGGAAAATATTCACACAATAGATGTCACCAGACATTCTTAGAGAATCACAAAAATTTATAGATACGGTCTCACTGAATTGGGTCTTGTTAGATATGGCAGAGAAAAACTAGGTGGAAGGTAGGGGACTAGAGGACAGTGGTGAGAGCTGTCAAACTGTGGTCCTCAAGGTAGTCCATGATGAATATCACACTTTAAAAGCTGGATTTGTACTAGAGCTCAGGCTTGCGATTTGCTCTTTTCATAAAAAATGGAGAACTCACATTGAGTGACACCACCGTATGGAATGGGGTAGACTCCCCAACATAGCACATTGGGTTCTCCCCACCCCGAGCCTTGAGGATATCTCAGGCAAAGCCCAGAGCTCCTCTGGTTCCCATCAGATAGGAGAACGACCTGGTTTTCAGATGTTCAGCAGTCTAGTCCAGACTCATCTGAAAACTTCCCGTCATCCAGCGCCTCTCCCCATCTCCTCTCATGCTCACACCGCCCCCTTCAGCCCAGGTCTGCAGAATCAGGGGTAAAACCAAGTAGGGGAGGGAGTTAACTCTCTCTCTCCTCCCCCAGTTCACTCTGCTCTGACTTCTCCAGGGTGCAGGAAAGAAAAGGGGCACGAAGGTCTGGGCTGGAGGTGTCCGAGGAGTGTCCCCTGGGGCCACCTCTGATAGCCCTGGGCCTGACGCGGTGAGGTGCTCTCAGACAACCACTCATGCTCCCTTGGTTCTGGGTTCTGGTGGCTCACTCCCCACAGCCCTTTGTTCTGGGCTGGCCTCTGCCTTTTCAGGATGGTTCCAGCCCAGCGACCTTCCGTGTGTGCTCACCCCTGAAAGACAGTTGAGCCCTGAAAGCGCGGGCTGGGGTCCTTCTCCTCACTCTGGCCTCTCAGGCAGCGCCCCCTTTGTTCTTTTCTAGACAAAAATATGTCCCCAAGCTCCAAAGCAAAGGCTCGAGTTGTCCCTAGAACTCTGGTGTGAGGATGCTCCTCTCAGAACTCTAGTCTGAGGGTCCCTTGCCTGCCCTCACCCACTTTGGGAAGGAAGGAGAGGAAACCTCACCTCACTCCTCCAAAGAACACTTCCCTCTGAACCCTACCAACTCCTCATCCTTCCCCAGAACAGTCTGGGATGAGTGATGACCACAGGACCCCGAGCCCTGCACGGGGGTTCAGCACCTCTCGCTGTCTTCACGGTGGGTGAGGTCACAGCATCCACTGTTCTCAGGACTAAGACAAACCAGAAACCTCCATTCAGTGCTCGTGTACGTCAGTAATGCTGATAGTTTGGTTCTCACCTTCCTCTCAACTCAAGGCGAAGGTTGGGGACCAACAGGCTGTGCAGTTGACCAACCACCGCTGAGGAGCAGGGCCCATCAGAAACTCCCCCATCTCCTTGCTCTCACGTGCATTTCACCATGCGGTGCGGGCCCTCCCTCTTCCCGACACCTCAGATAAGCACTCACAGGCTTCTTTTTCTTGATAGTGACCTCCAGTCAGGCAGAGACAGGCTCCTGCCCTGCACGCCTCTTAGCACCTGCTGCCCTCAGGGAGTTAGAGACCTCTGTCTGCCTAGCTTCCTACACTGTAAATGCAGGTACAACACGAGGACTAACAAAGTCCGCACTTGAGTACTCAGCACCACCCAGCACGCCATGTTAGCTATTATTAGGAGTGTCCCTCTCATGTCTAAGAATGCGGACAGCATCTCTGGAAGGTGAGGAAGACTGAGGTGAGATGAGGCCTCCCCGAAGAGGTGGCGATGAGAGTCGGAGACCTGAGCATGAGTGGGAGCAAACTAGATGAAGGGAGATCTGAGTGTGGGAAGAGTTCCCCTCGCAGGAAGGCTGGTCCATGCTGATCTCCCCCCTGCCTTCGCTTTGTTCCAGCACCTCGACTACAGACTTCACTTCTCTGATGCAGAACAAGGTACGGCCTTGGGTTTTTCTGTGCTTTGTGATACTTGAAAGTCCCTCGAGATAACTCAGGGTCAGAGATGCCTGACAGCTTGTCCTAGAGCCCCACAGTCTCCCAGAATGTGAGAACAGAGGGGTGCTCCCCGAGCCTGGCTCCAAGCCCCAGCCCTGAGTGCTGGGCGTGGCCACATACAGCACAGTTAGCCTTGTTTCATGGAAACCCAACAGTCGGCCACCCAGGTTTTCAAGAGCCAACGATTCATCTTTCAGATTTCTTTCAGGGGGGATTCCATTTACAAAAATCTTATTACAAAATGGCCTCCTCCCCTCCCCCAAAGCCGGTTTTATATCTCTTCTCACATCAGTTCCAACCGAGGGACCTTGATCCATGCAAACTGTGGGCTCTGTTGTGCTACAATGTTTTTCATTTTGTGTTAAAGAAACATGAAGGATTCTTCATTAGCTTATGAAGTTCCAGAAAGCCAAGCCCTCCTATAAGGACAGAGCCATATTCTGCCAAATTTCAAAAGCCTCTTCAAATGGGGCTTGACACCAGGCTGGACGGAACCTGGGAGGGAGGCAGGCACAGTTGGGTGGCTTTCACTGCATGCTCTCCCTGGACGCTGGTCTCCGGTCTCCATAGTACCGAAGCGGGGGTGCCCCTGGGATGCTAAATGGTACTTCTCGAGGCCTACCACATCCTCCTCCTGACAGTGTCATGGTCTCTGTCCCAACAGAACCTGAACGGTGCGCCCACAATCACCAACCCCGTGAAAACAGCCAACCACCAAGACAAGCAGCACCCATCCCAGGTAATTAAATTGCACCTCCTGGCCCTGTCTGCCTTATGAAATGCCTTGAGCTCCCCAGGGGGCACTGGTCTTGAAGTTGTGAGGGCGTCAAGCTCACCATCTTCCTCCACATCCCTGTCTGGCCTGCGTGTGCCATGGAGATAAAACATCTAACTCACTGCTGACTGGGCAGGTCACTGTACTGTCTGAGCCCCAGCTTCTTTAAGTATAAAAGCTGAGGCCTGATCCAGATCAGAAGGTGTCCAAACTATTCCTCCAAGGTGCTTCAGGGACACTGCAAATATCTGAACATCTGGAGATTTTAAGGCAACTGTTTTTCTGTGAGAATGGGATTTTTCGGATACTATACCACTAAACTAAATACAGAAGTAAAATAGATGTTGAAGCTGTATAAAATCACAACTGCCACTTCTAATCTTTAATTCAAATGTGTGTGTTTATCAACATGATCACAGTTATCATCCACCATCCATCATCATAAATAACTGCCACCATTTATTAAACACTTCTTATGCTAAGCATTTTCTCTGTTGTCTTGGCTCAATGAGGTAGGAATTTTGAATACCCGCCTCCCTGTTTCAAATGAAGCAGAGAGATGAAATCATGTACCCAAGTCCAAGTCTCCCTGACCACATGTGCATGCACTCGGTGATAAAATAGATGTATGCCAATTAAATGCCACATTTACATTTTATATATTGGAGGTCCATCTAAAATTTCATTAGAAGAAAGGACCGTGGCAAACCACTGGACTGGAGAATCTCTGAGGTCTCTTCCAGCTCTGACAATCAATGAATCTTTCAGGAAGGTTTGGAAAAATCCAGAAGTACCTGGGCCCTCTTGGGAAGATAGGGAAGTAGTTAAGAGCTTTGAGAAATGTGGCACCGTGGCCTCTCCCTCATGATTGACCTACGAGCTGGCCTGACATTTGCACCAGGCTGTTCCTAATCTCATGAAGACTCATGAGGGATGGCCAGGCCTGGAGGGGGATGGCGGCACTTGCTTCTATAGTTCACACTTGAGACCAGAGGTCAGCGACCTGTGACCCTGAACAGCCATCATCTGGACCAGCAGGGCCTGAGAGGACCATGGCAAGACTGAGGCTTATATGCAAGGCGGAGGGGGAAAGTGTGGAGTAAAAACCAGTAGGCACGAAGGAGAAATGAGTGAGGAAGGAAAGGAGGAGAGAGCCACACACTTTGACCCTCTGCCCAATGAGAGCTGGATTCCTTCTGTAATCCAAGGCTTATTTTTTAGTCGTCTCCCAATCAGGGATGTCATTCTAACTCCTCACAGATCAACCTTCTTCCATTTGCTATTCAGACACTAAGTGGAGAGCAACCAGTTTTATTGGAGTTCAAGTAACAGATAGGACATATTAATAATAACAGTAACAACAACAAAAATAATAATAGCTTATCATCCATTAAGTGCCAGTGAGTGTTCTAAGTGCTTTGTATATATTACTTCATCTATTCTTCACAACGATCTAGCAGAGAAAATAGGATTTTTCCCATTTTATAGAAGAAAGTGCAATTCAGAGGGGCTGCTGGGTTGGAAAATGGTAGAACTGACATTGGGATTTGTCGCTCTGACTCCCAAGTTCGAACCCTATCCACTGCACCACGGTGCCCTGTTTTTCATGCTTTATGTGCCAGACAGCCAAGCTGGGTTGGAGATTCACTGATTTTCCTTTGGTAGGAAAAGCCACTAGTCCCGGCGTCCGGCCCCAGGAACCAGGAACTAAACAGAAAGTACAAGTCCCACCACGACCAAATGATCTGCAAGTGCCTGTCTCTGAGCATATCTTACGCCGCTACCATCGGGGGCCTGACCACCATCATTGGCACCTCCACCAGCCTCATTTTCTTGGAACACTTCAACAAGTAAGTAATTCACTTAGTCAACAAATATCTACTAACCACCCATGTGTCAGGAATGTGACGAGGTGATAAGGATACAGCAGGAGATGGGACTAGAACAGTTTCTGTAGCAAGAGGGAAAGAGATGACCAAGTCATTACAGCTGAATGTGACTGGAGAAGGGCAGGGTTCTGCTGGGAGAGCCCCGCCAGGGGAGGTCACCCAGTCCCAGTGCCTCCCCGAAGAGGCGGCGACAAAAAGCAGAGACCTGAAGCATGAGTTGGAGTGAACTAGATGAAGGGAGATTTCCCAGCCAAAGCAAACAGTGTGTAGGAGGGCTCAGAGCGAGAGAGCAGAGCACATAAAAGAAAATGAAAGAGGGAAAAGGAGGCCAGGAAGGTGGACAGGCGGACCACAGAGGACCTCGCCAGGCCCTCTAAGGAGCTTGGACTTCATTCGAAAGGCCATGAGAACCTTGAAGAATTTTAGGCTTGGAGTGAGGTGATGAGGTTTATAGTTTAAAAGCTCATTTTGGATTTTTTGTTTTAAAAAGAAGAGTGGATTGGAAATGAGAAAGGCAGGAGGAAGACAATTCGGAACATGGCTGCAGATGCCCAGGAGAGCTGATGGTGGCCTGGTTGACAGTGCAGGGGGGAGGACAAGGTTTGGGAGGTATTCAGAGGTAGGCCTGACAGGCCTTGGTAGGATTAGAAAGAGCCTGGGAGGGAAAGGCCAGGTCTAATTGTCAGGCTCGTGGCTTCAGCAGCTGGGGGAACAGAGTTGCCCTCGACCTAAATGAGGGGAGAGAGGAGGAAATGTTGATATAGAAATGGAGATATCCGGCTAGGAGACACAGCTCTGAATCTCAGGAGAAATTTTGAGGCTCACGGATAGATTTGGTTCGATTTTGGCACAGACTTGCTGTGGCCTGCACAACTGTCTCCATGGTGTGCAACCTGTGCCGTCCCAGGGCCACCATTCTCAGAAGGGCCCCACGCTGGGCTTCATGCTCTTGTCACCATCTGAAAATCCTTAATAGTAATTGAATGAGGGGCCCCACATTTGCATTTTGTACCGAGCCCCACAAATTAGATAGCAATCGGTCCTGGTGGTGCACATGTGGAAATTGAAGCCATAAGAGTGAAGGGGATTTCTCAGGAAGAATACATAGAATAAGAAGAGCGGGGGCATAAATATTAAGCTCAAGCATTCAAAGGAGACTACGAAAGGGAGAACAAAACAGTATCACACAGGAAAGAGGAAAATCTGGTGTCATTCTACCCGAAGAAAGATGTTTCAAGGAGGAAGGCATGATCAAGCAAAATAAGGACAGAACTGTACCCATCTGATTTGGGGGCATGGAGGCTACTGGCGACCGAGGCAGGAGCAATTTGGTCAAGAGATTGGAAAAGAAGCCCAGTTTCAGTGAGGTGAAGAGTAAGAGGAGGTGAGGAGATGGGGCGTCAGCTGTGAAGAGAGGAGAGCAATGGCATAATAAAGAAAGTGAAGTAGGGCCAAGAAGGGGTTTTTAAGATGGGAGACTTGTAAGTGCTGACAGGAAGATCCAGATGAGAGGAAAACTAAAGGGTTGGGAGAGACGGGGTAAATAGAGTGATGTCACTAGCAAAACAAGAAGGGATGGGATCCAGAGCAGACAAGAGGAGAAACACATCTTTTTAAAAAAAAATTTTTTTTATTGATTCAGAGAGGAAGGGAGGGGAAGAGAGAGATAGAAACATCAATGATGAGAGGGAATCATTGATTGGCTGCCTCCTGCATGTTGGACCGAGCCCACAACCCAGGCATGTGCCCTTGACCCGTAATTGAACCTGGGACCCTTGGGTCCGCAGGCTGACGCTCTATCCACTGAGCCAAACGAGCTAGGGTGAAACACATCTTTCATTTTAGCAGAAACAGGAAGAAAATGAGGAAGGAAAAGGGGAGGGGTGGAGGGAGTAGGGAGGAGAAAGGACCAATGAAAGTTTAAGACCTGATCCCCCGGATCTGAGCTTCATGAACCCCTCACATCATATTACTCTGTCCAGGCTCTGAGTTTTTGCTCTTTAATTTCTGGTTCACTTTGTGGTTGGGGCAATTAATATTCCCTTAGTCTACTTCTTGAGTGGCAAAAGGAACATTTTGTCATAACTGTGGCTTACCTGGGCAATAGGGATTCTGTGAAAGGAAGGTGGATTCCCTGGGTCCCACTGGTCTGAAAATGCCACTGCGTTCTCTTTGCATTGGTGAACAGACCACCACCAGAGTTCATTTTGGCTGTTTCAAAAACCTACGAATTAGTTGTTACACTCAGTATATGTACTCTAACTTTTAAAATGCTATAAATAGTATAGGCTCTTTTATTATCTACGAAAGTCTACTTAATCTACTGTAAAAGTCCTTTCCTGCCCCAGCCGGGTGGTTCTGTTAGTTGGAGTGTTATCCTGTAGACCAAAAAGGTTGAGGGTTCGATTCCTGGCCAGGGAACATGCCTAGGATGTAGGTTCAATCCCCAGCCAGGGCGTATATGTGAGACAACCCATCCATGTTTCTCTCTTTCCCTTCCTCTCTCTCTAAAATCAAACATATCCTTGGTGAGAATTTTTTTTTAAAAAAAGTCCATTCCTTTTTCTGGGCACAGGGGCAGGGTCTCAGCTTCTGTATAGAGAGGAGAGATGATGCAACAGACTTGTGCCATTAGCCCAGGACAGTGAGTCACTGAATGATTTATGTCCTCAGGTATCCTTCTAGATCCAAAAGCCCTCTTCCCAAAGCCCACTATCAGTGACCCACTCTGGCCTTTAGGGAGGGCACAACCTGTCATAACTTCATCAAGAGTCACACAGTTATTAGTAAAGGTAGGTCCATGACCAGGCCACAGTGCAAAAGAGTAGATGTCCCTGTGATGACAGAGGAGCTTAAACATGCTTAGATCCTGTGCTTCTATTGCACACTCTGTGGGGAGCCTGCTCTTGGACCTTCTCTTTTCCATGCAGGGCCCAGCATGAAAACAGGGGCACAGTCTGCTCCCTCCTTAGAGGAGCTCTATGCCCAGCCCTAGCAAGAAGGCCCAAGGGTACAGAAACACAGGCATTGCTAGGCTAAAGTCATGGCTCACATGTGGTCCATCCTGATTTCCCAGGAAACACCATCTGGGCTGGGGGCCTCAGCTCTGCCCCATGATGAATGAGGAGTCCTGAGCCACCTCCCTAGCATCCTAAGACAGCAGCAGATAAAGGATTGATGAAGGATTTGGAGATTCCAAGTCTTGGTTCTCCATTGCGCACAGTTAACACCTGGAACCTCCATGAGGCTCCGGAGTCCAAAGTTCTCCAGAATTGATGCTCTGTATCCCCCAATCAAAACTCCAAAAGTATACCAGACTGCCCTCTCCATTCTCTGTCTTGAAAACCAGATGAGGAAATTTATCGGAATCTTTATGTAAATTAAGAGCAAACAACTCCTGAGTGATTCTCCTGAGTGCAAAGTATATACACTTCAGTGATATCATTTTAGCTGCTTACTCCATAATTCCTGGCTGGGCTCTAAACATTTGCAAGTGCCCAATACGTGAGGTCATGTTTTACCATATTGTGCTGGGAGCCGGTCCATCCTTGCTGCTTGACACAGTCGCTGCAGGGAAGAAACATCTGCATAGCATATGTTTCAAGGGACCTGGCGTATATGGCATACTGTTCTTAATATGTTTGTTCCCCTTCTTGGCGCTATGTGTTTTAACCAAGGTCACCTCTCCGAGAAAGATTGTTTCCCCAAGTAGGGATTTTTCCCTGAAGTTAGGGAGGGAATAAAACCCCTTAACTAAGTGCCAGGCGGGTAGTTAATCACTTTAACTAAGAACAATCACGCTTAAGCCACATAATCTTTACTCCCTGGAATGGAGATAAGAAACGCCATAACCTTTGGAATAGAAATTGATAGGATTAAAATCAACTGGTATAAATACAGATGTAACAAGACAACAGAACACAGAACCTAGAGAGAGACAGAACCTAGACACAGAACCTAGCGAGAGAACCTGCCTGGAGAACCTAGAGAGAACATGGCAAAAGATCCTGGACAGAACCTGGCTACAGATCTTGGCTGGAGAACCTAGACAGAACATGGCAGGAGAACCTGGCGACCGAACCTGGTGGGAGAACCCGGATAGAACCTGACTGGAAAACATGGCAAGAGAACCTGGCAATAGAACTTAGCTGGAGATCCTGGACAGAGCTTGGATGGAGATCCTGGCTAGAGTTCCTGGCTAGGCTGCTGATCAACTGAATGCTGCCTCCGTGTCATTCATTCAAAAGCCGACTCCGTCCACACCTTTGGGGACCCCTGGACCTGCTGGGGTTGGACCCCAGCAATATTGTTATCATTATCTCTGCTGTCTGTCTTCTTAGCTTATTACCCCCCAAAGTGCCACAAGCAAATCCACGGTTTCTAATTGCTGACCTGGTTCTTTCCCTTCCAGCCAGTATCCAGCCGCAGAGGTGGTCAACTTTGGCACCTGGTTCCTCTTCAGCTTCCCCATCTCCCTCATCATGCTGGTGGTCAGCTGGTTCTGGATGCACTGGCTCTTCCTGGGCTGCAAGTGAGTCCTAGGGCCCTGTCAGCGAGGCAGAGGCCCTCCTGTTCACCCAAGGTCACAGCACAGCCCTGGAGGGCGATCAAGAGGGAGCTGCTGAGGAACCACAGAGGGTGCCCCTAGGAGAACACAGTGGACCGGACGGCAAGTCGGGCATTGTCTGTCCTAGATGCTCCACCATACATGAGCCCTGCACTTCACTATGAGCTCTACAACAACATGTTCTTAATTACAACTAACTGGTTAGGGGAAATGTCATTTTAAAGAAAGTCTGAATTGAAGAGTGTTTCATGTCATTTCTTTGCTCTCAAAACATATAGAGTAATTCCAACTAACTTCTAGGATGACAAATAGAAGTTGCCTTAGGCTTAATTTTGTAGACACAAGTGATTTATACTTAAGGAATAGGCTCGTTTCCCTCAAAATAACAAGTGGGGCATTCCTCTTGCAATGTTATTGCTAACATTAACCTGCTCAGCACAACCAGTGGTCTGCTCCAAATGTGACCCGGTTCACGCACATAAAGGGAAGATATATGGAGTTTTGCTATTAGCCCATGGAATCCAATGCTCCCATTGATCAGGGCTGACTTATTTATTTTCTTACTCAGAGATTGCTGTCAAATCAATGGTAACTGTATACTTCTATACCTCCAGCATTGCAAATAGAAAACCAACACTCACTTTCACCCCAGACAAGTCTTGTCTCTAGACAGATAAACACACACACGTATCTGTGTGTGACACAAGTCTATAAACATCTACACACAAATGCCCCATCACATTCTTAATTATGCAAAAGACAAGTATGTAGAAGCAACCTGCATGAGTCTGGAAGACGTAACTTCACACTGATTAAATACTAGATGCATGACCTAAAGGCTAGGGAAGAAGGCTAGGGAGAGGCTGTGTAACTTGGCAAATGAAAATTATGACAGGTGGGTTGGAGGGGCAGAGCGTGTGAGTGGAGAGAAGGGTGATCAGAGCAAGCCAGTCGTTTAGTATTTGCTGAATACTTGCTCTCCTGTGGGCAGAAGTGTTTCCTTTATTATTTTGCTCATTTTCCCTTCTCAGTTTTAAAGAGACCTGCTCTCTGAGCAAGAAGAGTAAGACCAAAAGGGAAGAGCTATCAGAGAAGAGGATCCGAGAGGAATATGAAAAGCTGGGAGCCATTAGGTAAGAATCGGCCATTCACCTTCTCTCTTCCGGGAGAGAAAGCATGGCTGGGGAGGCCAGCACAGAAGCAGCCTTGCTTCTGACACTCCTCTGAACTGGATGAGGCCCCCTCAACATAAATCCAGGCATTTAGAGATGCTACTTACTGCCAGAGTCTCGCTGGCTCAGATTCCAGGTGGCCGCCCTTCCCCTTCACTATATCCCGAGTCTGATGTATGGCCATGGTGAGGGGGTGGAGTGTCATAGGTGGGGCACCCGGAGGACAAAGAACAAGGCAAGACAGCACAGCCACCCTCTTGGCTGAATTCTCTAAAGTCAGTACTCCCTGCATTGCCCAGACCACAGGTTCAGCGGGATTCCTGGGGCGCTGGGACTTTGTCCTGTATTTACAGAGCATCGGGCAGCATCAAATACAGACTCCAAGACAGAGTCTGAGAATTCACTCACCAACCCTCGGCCATTCTTTTCTTTATTTTACACTTTAGCTGTTTTAGAGCCATTTCTATCACCTTTCCTACAGTGACCTTTTATGGCAATTGGCATTTATAACTTTGGGTAAAAGGACTCAGGTTTAAACTGTATTTTTTTGTTGTTGTTAATCCTCACCCCGGGGCCGGGGATCAAACCTGCAACCCAGGTATGCGCCCTTGACTGGAAATCGAACCCGTGACACTTTGGTCTGTGGACCAACACTCTAACCACTGAGCAAACAGCCAGGGCAAAGCTTTATTTTAAAAAACTTTATTTCTAAAAGGAATACATGTCCCCTGGCCGGTGTGGCTCAATGGATTGAGCGTCATCCCATGCACCAAGAGTTGTTGGTTCAATTCCTGGTTAGGGCATATGCTTGAGTTGCGGACCCAATCCCCAGTAGGGGGTGTGTAGGAGGCAGCTGATCAATGTTTCTCTATCCTCGATGTTTCTATCTTCTCTCTTTCTCCTTTCCTCTCTCTAAAAAATCAATGATAAATAAATCATTTTAAAAAATATTTCATTAAAAAATTAAAGAAATACATGTTCATTGTAGAATGCTTAGAAAATACAGGGAAATGTAAAGAAAAAGTTTACACTGACTTGTATTCCCAGCATCCCAATGTTAACTGTTAACTGTTAACGTGATAGACTGTTACTTCCTTGCTTTTTTTGTGCAAAATTCTATGTATTTATGGTAAAATTCAGTCCATACTGAAATTTTATATTTAGCATTAGATGGTCATTATGTCGCCCAGTCATTCATTCTGCTGTGGAAACTTCTTTATTAGATGCATCTCATTTTAACAGTTATTTGAAATGTATTCAAGGTTGTGAAATATCACTGTTTCCTTTTTTTAACGTTTTTAAATAGGTAATGCTTCGATGTGCATTTCTGGTTATTTTCTTAGCTAAAAGGAATGACCTAATTTAAAGCTCCTAAAATATATGGTCATATTGGCTCAAAAAAGTTGTGGCAATTCCTGCTCTGACCAACAGAGTCTGCAGGCTTAGTTACCTTAGAAATGTGTGATGTGTTACCTTTGCCTCCCCACCTAAATATCGCTGGTAAACTCGGTTAACATTTCCTGGGCTCATCTCGGCCCCCTTCCCACTCCGCCCCAGTGTGCAGAGTGATTGAGCAGTAACTGTGCTTCGTGCTTCCTGTGTGGAGCTCTGAACACAGGAGCATCGCAAAGCAAGTGGCAGGGCTCGCAGGAACTTCAGTCACTGTTGCATTTCACAGCTACCCTGAAATGGTGACTGGATTTTTCTTCATCCTGATGACCGTGCTGTGGTTCACCCGGGAGCCTGGCTTTGTTCCTGGCTGGGATTCTTTCTTTGAAAAGTAAGTGAAACAGTCCCCTCCTTAAGAATGACCCCTCATAACTCTTCAGGCAGTTTCCTCTGCCCCCTCTCCCGACTCTCAGGGACAGACACAGACGTGAAGCCAGGAAGGCGCTTTGTCCCAGTGAAAGTCCCTTTCAGGGCAGCTGCAGTGAGCGGTGAGGAGGAAGAAGGGATGTGATCTGAGTCACGTATCCAGCTTTGTGAACTTGGCCTTGTTACGCAAGCTCTTAGGACCTCAGCTGTCTCATAGGTTTTTCTGAGAGTTAAAGGGGAAAATGTCCATACAGTAAAATACTTTAAAGACAATGGCCAGGGAGTGGCTGAGGCCTGTGGAGGGAAAGGCAGACAGAGGCTCCTGTCTCAGCCCTGCGTCTTCCCCTGAGGGCCAGGGCCACAGGCCTCAAACTCCCCCAATACAGGATCTTACTCAAGAAAAGACACACAAGGTGAACCTTGCAGGAAAGAGGACCCATCCTCATCTATTCTCCTTCATCCAAGCAATTCCTTATCACTCTTGGGACTCGCCCCAACAGTGGGCCCATAAATTCTAAGTCATCTACCCTCGCCAGGCCCTGCGCCTCCAGGCACTAACCATTGCCATTAAACCCACTGCTGCACAGTCAGCACCCTGGCAAGAAGGAAGGGTACTGTCCCTGTAGACTTTCCTTCAAAGAGGCTTTGGGTTCAGAGAGGCTGTCCTGAGACCTGGTGCTGCCCCGGGGGCTCCTGGGCCTCCCCTCCAGCTTGCTTGTCTCTTTGCCAGGAAAGGCTACCGCACTGATGCCACGGTCTCCATCTTCCTCGGCTTCCTCCTCTTCCTGATTCCAGCGAAGAAGCCTTGCTTTGGGAAAAAGAAGGATGGTGAGAGTCCCAGGGGAGATGTTGGGGCTGGCTCTAGTCAAATAATACCCAAGTCGGAATTTTCTGAAGGAGCTTGATCCAAGCCCTCTGATTCTGCCCAAACATAGCAGAGCAGCCTCCCAAACCATCCGATTCCTCAGTTCAGCCCCTTTCTCCACAAATCACACCCATTGCGGTTCATCGGGCTCTACCTCCCTGTCTACCTGTGATCCAGGGGAGGACCGGGAGCCCTCGCTGAGGATGGAGCCCATCATCACGTGGAAGGACTTCCAGAAGACCATGCCCTGGGAGATTGTTATCCTGGTGGGAGGAGGCTATGCTCTCGCTTCTGGCAGCAAGGTAGCTCTTCAGTTCTGTTCTTCTTGGGCCGGATTTTTTTCCAGCTACTTTACCAACTGAATCAATACGGTTCTGGGCGGGAAGATTCAAAGAAGCTGAGGGAGAGGTGAATGTCCACCCAAGTCACTGGGAAGGGATGCAGTACAGCCAGGAACTGATATCCTGTCCTCGCTGAGCTTCTAAGCTAGCGCTCCTGGGACCAGTGTTACAGATCAACTGGGCCAGGGAGTCATGGCACGCGGCATTCACACCTCATTGATGGGCCCACACTGTCACAAGCAAAAGGTGTACTGGATTCTGTAGCCATCACCTTCTGCGGATTTGACAGAGGTGACAGGAGATGTCTGTAAGGGCCCAGAGATGCCCCCAGTGACACCCCTCAGATTGTCCCTCAGTCAGTCCATATGCATATACTGAGCCCCTTGGAGAATTGATGCTAAAGCTGATGTAAATGCCCCAACTTCCTCATCAAGAGGACTTGGGATGAGATCTTTTAAAGGGGGCTGGTGAGAAAGAAATGAATTTCCTAAAGTGTTGGCCCTTCCTAAAATAGAAAACAACCCTAATAATGAATCAGGCTAAGGGTCACACCTTTCTCCCTCCAGCCTCTCTGTACACGTTAACCCATCCTAAATTTGGCTCACTTATCATGGCCCATTCACTGTGGGCCACTGCTCTCTGCATCGTCAATATGTCAGTCCTACAATCGGAAGGAACCTTGGAGGACACTGAGCCCCATCTCCCACCCAGTGTGAGGTTTCCTTCCATGACACTCCTGGCTTGAACATCTCCGGTGACAGGGCAAGTCCTTGAGTAGGGAACAAAGAATAGTTATTCTCTACTTTCAGCTCAGGTTTTCTGTATGCCTTCCGCTGACGGTTCTGCCTCTGCTCTCTGGAAACCTCTCCTAGGTGATAATTATTAAATTAACATCAGCTACAAATCCCCCTAGATTTTTTTTTCAACTGAAACTCCTCAGTCCCTTTCACTATTCTCACAGAAGTACGGACCCCTTACCATGCTGGTTCTCGTCTTGGGACTCATTAGTTTGCACTTGGCCTTATTCAAACATGCTCCAGAGGTGGTGAGAATAACTCAGTTATATTACCCAAGCCCCATCTCTCACGTCTGATCCAAGCACCATCCTGTATTTATATGGAAGCTTTTACAAGGCTTCACTGGCTCTCATGTCAACATGTATATTGGAATTGCAGTAAACTAAAACTCTCCATTCTTTTAATTATTAGCCCCTATTAAGCCTTAAGTCCTCCAACCAACGCTGCATATATGCTGTTGATATTTCTAATTCCAAGTTCAGATGTCATACTTACCTTTACAGAATTTCAGTTGTTAGTTTTGGCCTCTGAGCCCCGCCTGGCCAGCTCTTTTTCTTTTTAACCAACATTATGGGTGTAACAGATAGTAGATATTTCTGTAAACCCTGACTCTACTAGTTTAATAATATCATTCAGGCATAATATATGTGATTCCTAGCGAGTATGAAATAATTTCAGTCTTGACATTAGTGAGGAAAATACAGTGTAAAATATTTTCAAACCAAGGATTTAAACAAGACTTCCTTTGTTGTGTTTTTTCCTAACTTTGCAGTCTAATTTATCAATTTATCTCAAATTATAGTGTAAAGTTCTGGTGAAAAATAACTGCCATTAAATTATTTCCTTGTACTTACAAGTGTTATTTGGATAACGTGAAAAGTAAAACTATTTCTTTACAAAAATGTACGATTTCCACTCAGCTAACTGCTCTCCCTCCTATCTTTGCCCAGGGAGCAGGGCTAAATGTGTTGTAAGAGATAACAATTACAGAGCTCCTGTGGGCCTCAAGGCTCTGTATCAACATGAAATGATTAGTCCCCACATGTTGGATTTGCAATACTCAGTTGGTTGAGGGAAAAAATAAAGGAAAGTGCTCCAAGGTAAAAAAATGGCTACAACAGAGAGAATTCTGAAGGCTCTAGTCATCAGGTGTCTATGAGCTTGCCATGAGGTGGCCAGAGTGCTGTGGAGATCAAATGAGCTTTCGTTGAACTTGGAGAAGAGGAGGAAAAGTAGCCTGCTGACAACATAGAGAGGCTGTCTTTAACTGTAAAATGTGATTAGGCTCACAGCTTGGGGGATCACAGAACGTCTCACCTTGCTTTCTGCCCTACTCCTCATTGCTTTATTGCATTTGCAGTCTCCAGGGTAAATGGGAAAAATCAGAGCACAGCAACCACAGAAGGGAGAAGAGGGAGGGAGAGCGGGAGATTGCACATGGCAACCTGCGGTTTTTAGTACAAAAACTAGATAGTGCTCTTCATTTTGGGAGAGAAGGGGGAGAGGCCTCACCATGGCCAAACGAACAGCTTCCATCCCAAAGAATTATTCCAAATGGGAAAATGCATTTCCTGGAGTGGATATGTATAAATGTTGCTAATGGAAAAGGTTCAAGAGTGGCAATATGCTTTCATGTCTGTCATCAAAAAGCACTGGCAGATGGTAGATCCTGATGTCAGCCTTGACGGGACTTGAACCCACAACAGGTTGTGCTGAATGCCTATGCTTTCAGGCCAGTGAGGCGGCACCTTCCCCACTAAATGGAGACAGGCTTGTAATCCCCTCTTCTTCATTACTCATGTAAAACATCTAATGCTGAGCTCTGCCCACTCACTCACCCTCAAAACACAGGGAAGGTTACTATCTAAAGATACCTAGTTTTTTCCCTTGCTCAGGTGATAAGAGAAATCTTTCAAAAGTAGAAGGACTTGAGAGGGTGTCAGAGGCGGGAGAAAGAGAAATGAGATTAAAGTTGAGGAGCCGATTGCCCCAAAGATCTTCAACCCCTGCCAAGTCATCTGGCAAAGTCCTAAGGATTATGGCAATTAGGGTGGGTGGCTCTCCATTCCTGTGACAGCAACTACCAGGAAACCCTAAGACTAAATGTTGTACAATCATAAAAAAAGGATTTTCTGAGCTACAAAGGAATGCCGCCAGGTCCAGTTTGCCTGAAAATAGGAAGTTAGGTGACTCCTGTGGTCCCTCCAGCCCCCACCATCCCTGACCTCCTGGAGTCCAGGAGTTCCACTGGGAATGTGCTCTTCCTCCTTCTAACTGCATCTCTTGGCCTGCAGAGCTCTGGCCTCTCCACATGGATTGGGCACCAGATGTTGTCCCTGAGCAGCCTCCCACCGTGGGCCGTCACCCTGCTGGCCTGCATCCTGGTGTCCATAGTCACAGAGTTTGTGAGCAACCCAGCCACCATCACCATCTTCCTGCCCATCCTGTGCAGCCTGGTGAGTGAGCAGGGCTCCCACATGTCTGCAGTGCAGGCCTGGACCAGGGAGCAGCTTCCACGCTGTCCTCTTGCCTCTGGGCCTTTTCACAGCCTTCAATCATTGGTGTTCAAACCACAGTTTGAAAAATTGTTTCAAATAGCAACTGTTAAGTAAATAGATAAATTAATAAGCTGCAGCGAAGGTTCTAGAAACCCTTTCCCCAAAGACTAGGATTTGTTTAGGGGCAGCCCTGAATGGAAATGAACCTTACGACCCTAGGATTCCAATTTCCTACAATCATCATCAACCTTTCTTTCCTGAGATAAGACCTAACTGCAGGTGCAGAGGAGTAACTACAGAAAATGGAGACAAAATGCTCCCAGAAGTACACTCAGTCGCAAGGACCAAGACCACAGCTCTACCATCACCTCCACCCAATTTCAGTGTCCGGAAGGTTCTGAGAATCGGGAGCAAGGCCAGCCTCATTCCACGACCTCAGAACACTTGGTTATTAATAGAACAGGGAGGGGAGCAGCTGCCAGGTCTTAGCCTGGCTAAGCAACCCCAAAGGTAATGCAGCAGACACAATCTGAAATGAAGGCTCCTCCCTGCCCCCAACAAAACAATGTCCTCCTGTTCTTCCTAACCCCAAACTCTTTGCTCATTGTTCAGATGCCTCCCTCCACCCGTCTTCCAGCATCCCATTAGTGTGAGCATGGAAATATGCTTAGTTAAAACTTGGCAACACTGAGGGCTAGCCAACAGGTTCAAATCCATATAGAGCAAGAAGTTTAACTAGAAAAAAGGCCCCCTGGTTCTGTACCCAAGGGTGAGGAATCTCTACTTCAATCAAAGCAGCTTATTCATGAGATGTGTGTTTGAAGAAAGAATTTCTCAGCTAAAAAATAAAATTTAAAAACCACTTTCTTGGGCCAGCACCCTCCTAGGAGTAATTCAGAGCCCATGTTTCCATGGTGAGTGTGTAGCATGAGCAGGTTTGGCTTGGTCAGCACTGCATACCATTGAGAGCAGTGATTTAACCAACCCTAGTACAAGGTGTCCAGCCAAGGTTGGCCAGCATCAAGCCATCATTTAAAGCACAGAAATGCAAGTCAAATGTCAGTGCTAATGCTTCTGTGAATTCTCTCTCCCTCTAGTCTGAAACGCTGCACATTAATCCCCTCTACACCCTGATCCCAGTCACCATGTGCATCTCCTTCGCAGTGATGCTGCCTGTGGGCAATCCCCCCAATGCCATCGTCTTCAGCTACGGGCACTGCCAGATCAAAGACATGGTGAGTCACGGGTGCCTCTTCCTGCCAGGCCCAGCTGCCAGGACGGGAATGACTGGCTCCACAGCTTCTCCTGAAGTTTATTATTTTGTAGCAGTTGTCCTTGGACTGTTAACACTTAATCTAGTGTGACAGAGAGAATGGCACTGGTAAAAAGGTTTGGGGTTGGTCCATAAGCACCAATTTCCTTACTTGCTAAATGAGGAGGTCCAGAATAGATGTTCTATGTGGCCCCCTTCAGCTCTGGATCTTAATTTAGCTCCTTTAGAACCTGCCCCCCACTCACCTGCTAGGAAGCATGGGCAATTCTCCACCCATAAGGGCCTAGGGGACCAGAATGACTAATTCGTCCAGGGCTTGCCCCAGAAAGCAGAGAGGGGGCACATCCACTCATTTGCTTGGAACAATTTCCTAGCATTCCTTTTTCCCTTGCAACTTTCCCAACTCAACGCCAGCTAGTGGGCTTGTTGTGGCTACACCCTGTGTGCTTGGTTACACCCTGGTAGAGTGCCAGCTAGCCTTACTGTACACTTTTCCATCTGGCCCTGGCTGTGCCATCCATCATGCCTCACATCCCCCTCATCTGGGAGTGTCAAGGCCGTGGCAGAAATGGAAGCGGTCAGAGTCATTGAGGTGACATTCCCTCAGAAGAAAGAAGCAAAGCTAGCACGTCTGTGTCACCTTCCCATGGAAGGGCTGAGCAGAGGCAGCTGACCCGTTCCCCAGGGTATACCCAAGGTATACAACTTCAGTCACTTGAGAAAAGTAAAAAAGGGGAACAGTGGCAAAGGCTCCATGGAACACAGCCCCTCCTGCAAGTCCCCGACACCTGTTGGCACTTGAAAGGCTCTGAGAAGTTCCTGCCTTGCAGAGACCTGGGTACTTTTGTTTAACACATTTCCCTATCATATGGCAGCAGGACCCCTTTAACTGTAACTCTTATTGTTCAAATCTCTGGTGTTGAGTACACACTTTCAGGCCTCCTCCTTGACAGTGAGAATGCTACCAAGTGGAGCAGATTCTAACAGGCCTCTCCCAGTGGCCCCCCCACCCCCACCCTCTCTGCTTTCCTGTCCTTTTACAGTCCCGTGCCACCTACAAGGCACTTGCAAGGCAACACCAGAGCACCCAGGCAGAGCCGGGAACAAAGCAGGGTTGAGCGAGTGGGCTGTGATCGGGGCAGGGCAAGGCTCAGGAGGGGGCACAGATAGGGAGCACTCAGGGTTCTGTGCCTCTGCCTCCTCAGAGTGACCAGGGTGTGCTGGTTTGTGTCCCATAGGTGAAAGCTGGCCTGGGGGTCAATGTCATTGGCCTGGTGATAGTGACGGTGGCTATCAACACATGGGGAATTAGCCTCTTCGACCTGGACACTTTTCCAGCCTGGGCTATGCCCAGTAACATCACTGATCGGACCTAACACAAGTGGGCACACGGCCCAACCAGAGGCGCTGCCAGCACTTAGCAGAATCTGACCAACAAACAGGCCACGCAGAACGCCAGGAGCACAGCACCCCCACCAGAAGAGTCCGCCATCTTCCACCTCAAGTGCGGTTCAGGACTCGCACAACCAAAGCCCGAGAAAACCTATCCCTTTCTCACTTGTTTGTAACTAGTCTCTGCAATCGATCCTGCGGAAGACAGGAAGAGGCGAAAGCCTGCCCCGCTGCCCCTCAGAGGCTAAGCCCCACACTGCAGAGCCTCACTAAGTTTGATATTGTTCTTAATTCCTTTTTAGGAGTTGAAGGAGAAACCCAAATCTCCTGCCTATGCACAGCAAAACCAGCGGCATCTCTTTCGTAGGAAAATCTCACCTAGAACTTGAGACCTTACATCAGCTCCTTTCTCTTAAGAGTTTCTGTCCTAAGTTCTCTACAAAAAGGCAATTCTTAGTAAGCCCTCTTTGTGGCAGTCACAACTCTTATCGCTGCTCTGATTCCATTTTAAGCATCTCTCTTCAATGGCTTCTCTTTACTTTGGCACCAAATTCCTATAAAGTAACTGTTCCCCTTTCCATAAAGGCTGGTGCTGTTCTCTCTGTCAACGGAAAAGGAAGCAGAGAAAGAAGACACACTGTGATTAGCATCTCTCTTCACTCATCACGAGCCATCAGTACCACTGTGTTGGTTAAGTGTTGGGAAGGAGGAAAATTTTCATACTTGTCTTATTAAGGCGGCCAAAACTATAATTACGTCTACAGCACTATTAATGATATTTGACTGGCTTTCTTCTGGATGTAATTAGTTCATTTCTGAGAAGACAGGTCCAGAAAGGCCCAAACCCATTAGTCACTTTCTACAAGTAGATGAGCCCTTTGAGGGGAGTGATATCCTATGTCTCTGAAAATCCCAGCTACTTATACTACCTAGTAAACTGAAACTGCTTAATAAATGTTTCCCTTGAGAAAATCACTTTGAAATCAAAGCCTCCTTCTTCCTCCTGAAAACCAAGCCATTTTCTCCAGGACAGATGTCCTTGCTATCTGATTGGATATAGCTCCCAAACGCTCCATTTCCTGGCATTATGTATTTCTAATTTCCACCACCAGTTACTTGCTAAATATATCTTATGGGAAAGGCTCCCCCACAGTTATTGTTTTAATTGATTTTAAGTTCCTATTATCAGCATGTGCCATTTTTCCGCAACAATAATTTATCAATGAAGGCACTACCTTGGTTTATCAAATATCTGTGAATTGTCAAATTGCTTTCGTGCCATTCAACACTGTCACACTCTGACCACCACATATTATTGACCAGGTTTACCAGGAATATTACCACTTCTGCCTTGTCAATGAGGTTAGGCCAAATTATTTGGCTACTTAAAAAAGTGACTGACCTAATGAGCCCAAATAAAATACCAGTATAAGAACTACAGCTGGTTGGATGGAGCCAGCATCTCTACAGTTATTTTGCGTTAAATGTTCCGAAGAGTCGGTGTTACTCCTACTGTCAGGAGTATCATCAAATGGCTGACCCATTACAGAACTGAGAAAGTAAGACAAAGGTGCAGATAATCGAGAAGACTCTGGGATTATAAATAACTACAAAGAGAAAGAAAAGTTGACTTAGATTTACTGACCACTGTTCAACTTTTCAAGAACCTGACTCACTCCTACAGGGAAAAGCTGTGAAACTCCCCACTGCAATTTCTGCCAGATGCTCCGAGGAGCAGAGGCTCTCAACTAGCCAGTTTAGACAGAGTGTTTATTTCAGTCTGGTCTACTGACTATTCTACAGAACAGCACTGTTCTCTCCCCAAACCAGAGGTTCAGGCCAAACAAGATAGCTCATTACAGTGACAGGAAATGTTGAATATGACTAACAATTCCTTGTCATCTAAAACCACTCCACGTTGGACATTAACTAACAGATCTCCTTAGTCTTGTGTCTCTTGCAATTGTATTTAATTTGATTATTTTCTATCACAATATATCGATGGAAAGCTGTAAATGATCATCTTCTACCAGCTTACTTAACACATGGCGAAATCGAGAAACAAGACACTGAGTATGGTTGCATCTTATTCTCAAGTCAATTACATATCAAATCTGTTTAGTCATAGTTGCCTTTGAAATTCCTTTAAGTCGCCCATGAATACAATCTTTTACATTACAACTACATGGCACAAACACTCATGTGCCCACTTTTTTAAAAATTGATTTGAGAAAGAAAACATTGATTGGTTGCCTACTGCACATGCCCCAAATGGGGATCGAACCCACCACCTTTTGGTGCACAGCACGACACACCTACCAAACGAGCCAGCCCAGCCAGGGCTCATGTGCCATCTTTTGATAAATAAAAAACAGCTAGTTTTCCCTCCAATATCAGACTAGATCCCTGTTTCTTCAGCTGCATACAGATAAAGTAGTTGGCTTCATATTTGGGGCCCATGTTTGAAAAAGTGTATCTAAACACTAGAATCCCAGTACGGCAAGAGTCCAAACCACTAATACACAAAAGGGATGAAGACCACCCACGTTCACAGGTAGCTCATTCTGGGGCTGCCCTCACCAAATGAATGCTGAGCACAAATGCCTGCACTATTTACATGGCACCTCTCTCTTGTCCCAACACTGTGCAACTGTACATGTCAGAATGACACCCACACGGCACCTTTCCTCAGGCCTCACCAGAGGCAATGAGTCAAGCGGGCCCAGGACTTGGGGTTGGCAGTGCCCCCACCCCAATGCACTTTCCACAAAACCTGTTTGTTCTTTTGTCTCCATGTGCCTTGAAAAACATGCCATCCATGAGGTCTTCAATATATGACTAAATATGTTGCACCCAGATTTAGGAGAGGTATACACTGAGCATTTGAACATCTAAATGTCACTAACTCCCCTATTAAGACCAGGCAACGTCTCAAAATATTTTCCCTTCCCCGCCCTGTTCCTTTCCACAAGTCCCTAATAGTTAGTAGGGAAAAAAGAACTCATTCATCTGAGTAAGGAATGGAAATGCTATGTGCAAAGTCCAAGATGGGAAGTTTAAGAAAAGCCTCATTTGCTCCAGTACAGTATATAGTGTTCCTTCGGGAGGAGTAACAGAAACAGCATTAAAATGTGGGAGACCTCAGCAGAAAAACAAACACGTAGTGTCTATGGAGTGAGCTGCTTAGTGGAAATGAAAACATCATGCATGTGTACATATGCTCTATGAACCCGTACACACAGACAACCAGAAAAACCACACTTCATAGTAACAAAAATGAGTTAGAAAAAAGAAACCAAATTCTTTCTTTAAACCAGAAGCAGGTAACTGCTTAATTGCATAAAATACCAAATCAGAAGAAAAGTCTATTAAGACATCAAATAACTAAAATACATAAAATAACATAAACTATAGCCTCTTTTGATGATTTCAAATAAAGTGGTTTTGGTTTTTCTCTCCCTTTGCTTGTTTGGGAGGTTTACAGTTTAAGGATAAGCTTTTCAAGTTCGATCTATTTATTAGGTTCCCAACATCAATCCTGAGTATTATTTTTCACATGTGAGTAACCTTCAGTAGTATTATGAGTAACTTTCCTTTCATGGTCCAGGGTGGCAATAAATTTTCTTAAATCACATCAACAGAGGTTTTCGAACATTTTTAAAGGGAAAAAAGGGCATGTGTTGCACTGATTCTTCCCATCCCTCCACTGGGGAACGTAACTTCCTGTGCCATGATCACAACCACTGCCACCCCATCCACAAATGCACCCTCAAGTCTGTGCTGGTCTGGACTCCTATGTCTCAGGGAAGATGATCTTGCCTGAGAACTCTGAGCCCCTTTCCACTGTGGCAAGAAATTAAAACAAGGAGAGGGTATGTGACCAGTGCCTGCTAAGTTGGCCTGTGTTCACTGTGCAGCAGCTGGATGGCTCTCAGCAGTAGAAATGATTCCATCAGGGGGTTAGCCCTAATTCCAGATGAGTTTTGTAACAAGGTATAGTATAGAGCAGGGGTCCTCAAACTACGGCCCGCGGGCCACATGCAAATACGAATATTGTATTTGTTCCCGTTTTGTTTTTTTACTTCAAAATAAGATATGTGCAGTATGCATAGGAATTTGTTCATAGGTTTTTTTTTAAACTATAGTCCAGCCCTCCAACGGTCTGAGGGACAGTGAACTGGCCCCCTGTTTAAAAAGTTTGAGGACCCCTGGTATAGAGCAGTGATGGCGAACCTTTTGAGCTCGGCGTGTCAGCATTTTGAAAAACCCTAACTTAACTCTGGTGCCGTGTCACATATAGAAATTTTTTGATATTTTCAACCATAGAAAAACAAAGATTTATATTTTTGATATTTATTTTATATGTTTAAATGCCATTTAACAAAGAAAAATCAACCAAAAAAATGAGTTCGTGTGTCACCTCTGACACGCATGTCATAGGTTCGCCATCACTGGTATAGAGAGATTTTCTCCTAACATCTAAGTGACTTCCCTCCCCAAAGAAACCACTCTGGGAGACACACACAAATAACAATGCTACCATGACTGATAACAAGGGACTCCTAAGCTTGTAGCACTATGAATACCCTCAGGGATGGTAAACCTTTATTCTTAAGGCTTTAATTCATCCTGCCAACAATTTAGTCATTTAAGATAAAATCTTGGAAGCCAGGTGGTATGATCAAGGTGGATACTGTAGATTTTCATCAACAACCAAGAGCGTGACCATAGAATAATGACAAATTTTGCATGGTTCATAAACTTGTTCCCAAAGTGACTGCGAAGAAACAAAAGTATTCTGAGCAAAAGCAGGATGTTTGGACTAAGGTCTGCTATTTATTGGGCAAATTTGCAAAGCACTGTGCATCACGTACATTATTGCAATTGTTTCTCATGGAAGCCCTATGAGGTAGGTATTATGTCCAGATCTTACAGAGAATACAACAGTTTCAGACAAATAAGCTGTTTGCCCATGATCACACTGCAAGGGAGAAGCCAAACCATATGATCCTAATCTGTCTCACACACCAGGATGAACTGATGGATAAAACTTATCTCCATGTATGAGAGATGCATGTTCTCAAAGAGAAGCAGAATCACTTCATTTTATAATCACATGTAGTATCAGTGTCATCGCTGTCTGAAAAAAGGTGTCTCTAAGTAATCTTGCAGTTTACTGATTCTGCTATAATGTCCTCAGACGTAGCATTATCAGTGAAGCTGCCCAAGCCCTCTAAAGCAAAACGATGAAGTGGGACTTTACCTATATTTAGTGCAAATTACAGTTTTAGGACGTTAACTTATGGCTATACCCTGCATAAATACGTATGGTAACATCAGGTTCCAAGTTATCACTGTAACAGCAAAAGATAGGAAACAACTATTCATCAATGATAGATTAAATAAATTACGGTATATTCATCCAATAGAATTTTATGCAGCCAAAAAAGGAAACAGATTCCTTATTCCTTACATACTGATATTAAATGGGAGGAAAAAAGGCCAGAGCAAAGCCTATGTATAGTTTATCATTTGTGTAAAAAGCCCATGCACACATGGTTAGGCACAGAATCTTGTTCAATAGCATACAGTAAACTGCTGGCAGTGCCTGGCTCCAGGAAGAGGATCTAGGAGCTAGAGGTGGGAGAGGCCCTTCATTCTAAATCACTCTTGTATCTTGACTCACGGGAAAAGTGATGTAGTCAAACATTTTGTTTAATTTTTTCAAATGAACTAATTATACATTTGACAAATTACAATGATAATTTCTGAGTGCAGCAAAAAAAGTTTTCTTGTGAGAATCACTATAAAGTTATAATGTTGATACATTTCTTTTCATGTGAAAAGGCATAAAATTTCCTTTATAGACAACTTATCATTTATCCATCATGTAATGTCAAATGCACCTATAATCCCTTAAAATAAGTATGATTCTTTTGAGGAAAAAGAACCAGATCAAATGCATCATTAAGGAAAAACATGCATACTGAACTATGAAGTCTACTGAGGACAAAGGCCATATTTTTTAATTCCCCAATTCCTGATGGAGTTCTCAGAATATAGTTTCTCAGTTGATGAGTAGCAAATTGATTTATTGGTTAAATTAGCAACTATGGAGTTATATATGTCAGTTATACTGAGAACAGTATAAAATAAATGGATAATTCACCAGAAACTGGCTTCTAGATTTTAATTTTAGTGACCTTGAAGTAACATAATTTAGTACCAAATGTTTAAACACCCATTATA